ATACAGTGGGATGATCTAGAGATGAATGAAATCATAGAGTACCTATACAATGACTTGTCATATACTAAGAGGTAACATTTAAATATGGTACTCATGCATAAGAAAAGCCTTCCAGAGATCTTCAACTCATTTGTTATGCATCAGATAACCTTACATAGAATTTTATATTTCCAAAACAGTTGGCATGTGTAGGTTAAAGCTAGCTGGCTTGGTCACTTCGTGTTCTGTTCTCCGGCCAGCTGTACGTTGTCAACTGAGTTAATCTGTATTGTATGCAATGTACTTGGTTTTGTTGAAGAGGCAAGGGCATGGGTTGAAAGAACAGCTAATCTTCCTGCCTGGCAGTTTTGTGTGTTTTGAAGTGGTGAAAGTTAAAGTGACCACAAATTTCCTCACTTTTAAGGTAAATTTACTAAACTATAAACTTACCAATGTTTGGTTAAAAAAACCCTGAAAAGATCTAAACATTGAATTTAGAAATTTTCCAACCTGGTGGTGTCTGTGTAGGGAGCTGTAAAGCATCCCTGAAGGTGAATAATATAAAAAAAATTACCTGATAAATTATCAGTGGGGATCCAGCAACCACTTATGGAAGTATTTGTCAAAAGACTGAGGGTGAATTATTCCAGCATTTAAAAGATATATAGGAAGAAGGGACCGGGTATATGGTGCCTGCTAAGCCATAAAGCAAAGAAAAAAAAGCAGTCATATTTTAAAATATTTTAATATTTTATATATCATATTTTAATATTTTAAAATATGCAGTCATATTTTAATTATAAGAAAGAGATGAATGGAAAAACTTGTCATTTCAAATGGCAACAGAAAGGTTTATACTTTCTACTGTATTCAACATGGGGAAAGGAAAGTAGGAAAGACATGAACCCTGCTGTCCTGTCATTTCCTTCTGGGACACACGGAGACTCAAAGATGGTGCCACGTGACATCTTGGTTTGTGAGTACACGGGGTACCCACCATGGACACCAACATCTCAAAGAGTAAGCAAATTACCAGAAGGGAATCTGTGTGCATCTGTGCGCATGCCTGTTGAGGGCTGAGTGACTGCTGTTTGTTTATCTAACCCAAGTTCTCCGTAGTATCTTTTAATCTAGGACTAGGAAAAATGGAAGACAGCCACAGGCATCTCTTTCTGTAATACTTAACCTGTAACTCATTTCCAGGAGATATGTAAAGCTGATTCATTTGAGGTCAAGTGATGTTCAGTGTTATTAAACGCTTGACCTCACATTTCTGTACTTTAAAGTTTTTGTAGTATCTGTGTTAATTACTACCAGTTAAATACTTCCTTGTGGTATAAAAATATACAATACTTTGATTCTCCTATAGCATGATTGGCAATTTTTCCCTGTATAACTTCTTATTTTTTTTTTTTTTTTATCGGTCATGGAGTTTGAACTCTGGGCCTGGGCACTGTCCCTGCACTCTTCAGTTCAAGGTGAGCGCTCTACCACTTGAGCCACAGCACCACTTCCGGTCTTCTAGTGGTTTATTGGAGATAAGACTCTCACAGAATTTCCTACCTGGGCTGGTTTTGAACCGTGATCCACAGATCTCAGCCTCCTGAGTAGCTAGGATTACAGATATGAGCCAATAGCGCCCAGCTTTCCTCCTATAACTTCGAAGCAGTAAGACCCAAACTTAAGATAATGCCTCATGAAATTTATATGGAAAAATGGGTTCCTTTGTTTAAATCATTCACACATTCATCTGAATTTTGATACATCTTCCTTGAAACTTCTTCAAAGTGGAAAATAACCCACAATTTGATCTGCAAAGGACTCTATCGACCTACACTGGGGCCGGCCAATGATTTTGCTGAATCCTGAAAGAAAAATTCCATTGAAGATGTGGCCTTCTACTTCCTTTCTTAGCACTTCTCCCCTCCTCCCCCGGCCCCTGCCTGTAAGAGAACCATGATGAGTACAGTTTCAAAGGACCAGTTCTGATTGCCCTGGGTTCCTGAAAATAGGCATTGCCAAGTCCATTGGGCGCTCTCTCTCTCTCTCTCTCTCTCTCTCTCTCTCCCCCTCTCCCCCCCTAAAGTTCACCCACTGATGCAAGTTCTAATTAGATCTTGTTTCTTTTGAGCCATCATTTTACCCCCACTGGTGAGAGAATAGTTGTCTTCTTACAGACCCTTCTACAAGCATCTTTAGAGGACGCAAGTCCGATTTCTAGTACCACCAAAATAAATATATAAAAATGAAGATCCTGATGGCATTTGTTTTAAAGTCCACATTACCATCTTTAAACCTAACTGTCCATATTGAATGGCTATCCTATTGTTTCTCTTAGCTGTGGTTTTTGAGCAAACAGCATGGCTTGGAAACGAAAAGAAATCCCCGAGAGTAAAAGAACATCGCTGGCTATTTGTCAACATTCTCTGATTCAGCATACATGGCAGGAAAAAAAAAATCACTGTTTACTTAAAAGACTCACATGGCCTAATGAATCAAAACAGCAGAGCTTATGAATGCCATAGCTAATGAATACACACATGTCTTACAGTGTCCGGAGCAATTAACCGAAAGACCTGCTTAAAAAAACCAAACAGAACCAAACAAACCCTGATCTTAAGTCTCTCCGGAACCTAGTAAGACAGAAGGTTTCTAAGACTTTGGATACAGGCACATCCTGGATGTTGATTTGAATTTGCTTTTAAAAACTAAATAATTTATGCAACATATTCCTATCAGTCCATGTCTATATTGGTTTGCATCTTCTTTTAAAAAGAGAAGAATCCTAGTGGAATAAGAATGAGAATTTAAATCTTTAATGAGCCTTCTGCCTACAGGGCTGTGGGGAGGAGTTGGGAGGAGCTAGAGGTAAAAATGCCCATGAGCCTTCAGTGCCCTGCCAGTGTTCTCAAGACAGGACAGAATGACTGTGGTTTTGGCTTGCAGGGGCCAGCTTGCTCAGGAAACTGTGCCATATAGAAAACAAAGTACATAAACAAACTCTCCAGCCAGGAAGTTGAGTTCAACAATTGGCTCATTAAGGAGACCCAGGGAAGGACAGGAAAAGAGGGGAAGCCAATGGCTGATTATTATACAGCACTAGACAGACGAAGCCCTTCAGCGTCTCTCCCAAACAATCCCGGTAGTGTGGATTTCACAAAGTGGCACATTTAAGAGGGAACTCTCTTGCCATCAATGGGAGTCAGACACCCCAGTTATCTTAGGGCCAAATTCAGTCCCTGGAGCTTGACTTTACCAGTAGACATAAGACAGAGAACAAGGCAACTACATCCACAGAGAATTAATTGAGAGCAAAGAGACCTCCAGTGAATGGAATCAATAGTCTGAGCACTGATCTACATTTCAAACCTATTTAAAATGAAATGACTTACACTAAGGTACCTCTTGTAATTGTGTCTTCCTCAGAGACTGATTTGCCATTTGACTTCATCAAAATGATGTAATATCCATACAAAATATGTCTCCAAAGACTAAACATCAGAATGCTAGTTTAATATGCTTCTGAATGGTTGAATTATTTTTGGGTAGGACTCTATTATACGTAATTCAGCAGCTTGACTTTCTCCCTGCACATTCTTCTAGTTTCATAGGGGATGGATATTCACACAAAACAGTCTATGAAATTGCGAGAGTCCATGTCTATCTTTGCCTTTACTGGCTACTTTCCCGCCGCGCACCCCCCCCCCCCTTCTCTACTTTCAAAATAGTTCATTTTATATCATACTCCCAACTAGATAGGACTGTGTTGCTTTGCAAACAGGCAATATTGATCTAACACAACCCTTCTGAGTACCAGTATTTATTGCTTATATACTTAAATATTTCTCAACCCATCCCCCACCCACCCTCCCAACAGACACTTCAAAGCCCACTGCTGTTCCTTTTTTTTTGGAACCAATGAAAACAATCATCATGTTTAAATTGCTTTCATTTTTGCTGGGCAGCAGATGAAGTTTCATTACCTTCATTTCTCAATGGCTTACCAGAGACATCATTTTTTCAAGACCACGTTCTTGTTAAGTCCTTTAGCAAAGATCCTGATTCCTCTTGAAATCTGTGCTTTGTGTGCATCTCTCCTAAGCAGCACCGAGACCAGAGTGGGGCTCTGGCGCCATCAATTCAACAGTAGCCTTTATTGCTTAAGGAAAATAGGAAATTCTGCCTCCTGGGCACAGACAGGTGAATTCTCTATGTCCAGGCCCATCAGGATGGAAAGGGCAGATTTAACCACTATTTCCCTAAGAATGAATGTGTCACTTGTAACCCACAGGTAGCATGGCTTCCTTCAGGAAATCACATTTTAGGAGTCTTATCTTTAAATAGTTTTTGGATGGTAATGGATCTAATTTTACAGATCTTACACCACATTCTCTTTGAAAATGGTTGAGAATGTGATTTGAGTAAGGACTGTGAAACCAGAGCCGCTTTTCCTCCCTGACCATGACTGCTTTTGTAATTTCCAACTGAGCATCAATATAATCCCAAGACAGTATCAGAAAAAGAGGGATGCCATCATAAACGATAAGATTTGAAATGGGAGAAAATAAAAAGCGGTTTCCTGGGAAGAAGCTGAGTCCTTCACACCTGGAAACGAGCAACCAGGCATAATTTTTTTTAAAAAAAAATGATAAAATGTTGGATTATTACTGACAAATGAAAGTGTAGATTTGGATGGCCAAAAATAAGTTGATGAACTTATAAGAGGCACAGACTACCCATGACTTAGGCCCATTGGAAGCAGCTAGTGTTCAACCAGTTTGGTTTTTATATGGCCTTTAAAGATTAATGTCAACTCTGGTTATTGTCAAGTTAAATAGTAAAGTTACCTGATTGTTGATCAAAATATATATATATATATATATATATATATGAAATGGAGAAAAAAAGGCAAACAAACATACCATGTTCACACACAAACCAAAAGAATTCTCTCTCGGGGACATCAGGGAGGGTGGAATACTATAACAACACAGATCACATTGTTATACTACTCCACCCACCTTAATGAGGAGCCCTTGGGCGTTGCTACTCCATAGCCTTTAGAATCCAGATTTCCTCCCACTTTCATGGTGTCACACGGCTTTCGCTGCTCAATGTATTCGTTCATAGTGGACTCCAGCAGAAAGGCAAATTTGCCCTTGGATTTGCGGACACGAGCCACACCCTCAGCTGTAGTCCTAGTGAACACCGATGGCTCTGCCGATCGCATGTACGTCCACATCTTTTCGTACACTGCTATTTTTGATCTCTGGAGGAAATGCAAAGAAAATTAAATATGGGGAAAAGAAGGGAACAACATATTAATATTGATGGAAGCAATATAAGGGTAAATACAGCCTTTGACTATCTTCCTCTGAATTCTGGTTTTGTTATATTGGGAACTGAAGTCATAGTAGCCTTCTATAATTTGTTTCTATTTTTTTTTTAAAAGAAGAGTCTTTTAAAACAAGTCATCCAAATGACAGATAAAAGTAAGAGGAAGGCTATGCCTCTGGCCATAAGAATGTTGATATTCAATTGCTTAACTACCAATTTTTAAATTATTTTAAATTATTTTTAAATTAAAGGTCACCAAGAGACAGGTGAACATTTAAAATCACCTTCTATATCACATTCATGGCAAGTTTAAGAAGGATAAGACTTGATTTTTAACTTCGGTGAAACTCCTCTCAACTCTTTTCATATCCTTTAAATTTTTTATTTTGTTGTGGTAAGACCATTTTCTACCTTCTGAACAAAATTTTAAGTGAATGTACTTGAATGTTTAACAAATCAGGAGAGCTATTATTTTGGCTTTTTTCATGTCGCATAGATACACACAGACACAACACAGCTCCTGCTTCTCAGTAGTTCAACATTAACAGGAGAAATATGATGTAGTTTACAAACCAAATAAACTCACAGAATGTTTTTCAGAGACAATCTCCAGATAGAGCACATATTGAACTTTTAAGGAGAAATGACTGTGTTTTCCTATTTTGTGGGTTAGCTATTCTAATGCTCTGACTCTGGAGAGGAATTTATTTTTATGAATCACTTCTGTCTACCTGAGCTCTACCTACATTATTCCCACTACTTAACTTACCAGGTCTTTTCTTAGCATTCACTTTGGCATTAGATATATATAATTATATATCAAATATATCTAAAGATATTTTTATATCTTTAGCTATATCTTGTTAGTGTTTAGTTTGGCACTAGATATATGAAAATATATTTAGTAAAAAAAGAAAAGCCTGAATCCTAGTTTGTGTTTGGTAATGTAATGATGCTCATAGATTTTCATGAGAACATTTATTCAATCACAAGGTACTGAAATTTTGTATCTGGATCCAAATAATAAGTAAAGGAGAGTTCATTCTGAGTTTAGTCTAGTCATAATACCTGCTTTTACCATTCTCCCATTGTTTGCCAAACAAGAAGCTGCTCCTCACTAACCATCACATATCCTGAATATAAAACTGGAGAATACATATTTTGAGGTCCAAGCAAGTTATCCAGGCAGACAAAAGAAAAACTGATAAAAGCTGCATTCGGGATTTCGACTTATAAGAAGGAAAACTAGTAATCAATAAACCCAAATAATAAACCACACGAATGCTGATTTGCATACTTAAACACTAGAGACAAAGACATCTTTTAATTAATGCACTGAAGTATTGATCCACATCAATTTGGGAAATAAACATCCTACAATGTTTTTATGTTATTATATTTTTATGTTAAACGTTTTAATGTTATTAAGGCATGAGAGAACTGTCTCATAATGCAGAGATCATGATGTTTGTATGTATGTTTCAGTAATAACAAGTTACTGGTGGCTATGAAAATCCTCATGCTGGGAAATTATCTGTCCACACTTGTAACTGCTGTCTGTGTGCTTTCTGTATAGAAGAAGGCCTGGATTTATATCCTCAAATACCAAACCCACTAGGTTTGCCATATGGCCAGGCCTCATTCTTTCCATCTCCTACCATGAGTTCTGAAAAATATACCTGCCCCCACTAGATCACTTGACATTTGATAGGGATGAGGGATGTCAATATATATATATATATATATATATATATATGTATATACTTTATATCAAACTCAAAGAAGTGGTGTCAACTAACATCCTGTAGATAGTCACTTTATAGAAGCATATTTACAACAACTTGAGAATGTCACCCCAAAAGCCAAAGCATTTCACATTTATTTTACTGTGGCAACACATGGAAAATGCAGGTGATACAAACAAAAGCGAGACATTGCTCCAAAACAAAATGTACTCTTTACCTGACTTATGTAACCATAACCCCTTTGCACATCACCTTTCTACTAAAAATAAAGAAAGAAAAAATTAAAGAATAAAAGTGAGGGCTGGGAAGGTGGCTCAGTGGTAGAGCGCTTGCCTTGCATGCCTCAGGCCTTGGGTTCGATTCCTCAACACCACATAAGCAAAAAGAAAAAAGCCGGAAGTGGCACTGTAGCTCAAGTGGTAGAGCGCTAGCCTTGAGCTGAAGAGCTGAGGGACAGCGCCCAGGCCCAGAGTTCAGGCCCCATGACCGGACACACCCCCCAAAAAAGAATAAAAGTGAATGCTTTAATTGAGATACTTTTTGGACATTTGAAAAATGTGAGCAATGTGTAATTACTTGGCAATTTTTTGGCTGTTACATATAGCATATTAAAAAGAATAGGACAATTAAAGAAATCAGCCAAATGACAAAAGTATTTGCAGCGCTTAGGGGTTTTGGGCTATTGATATTTTTTAATAGCTCATTCCTATAATCTAATGTAAGGAAAATCAGTGCTCTACTGGGTTTAGTGTATTTGTGTAAAATTGATTCCATCTATTTAAAATCTAGACAAAAGAGGAATCTGTGGAGTCATTAACATTAAATTCAGGAAGTCCCAGTGTAAGAGAAACTATACATATTTTCACTGGGAATAAAAAGAGGAAAGATAAAAGCAACTGCTATCGGGGACAATAATATTTAGAAATGTTGATTCTGATTGAAGGGACACGATGTACATGAGAAAGGATGAGACATCGAGATGGAAAGGACTGGAAATACTCTCTGTGCTTTTCTGCAACTAAAAGGGCATGTTAATTAATATGGGCGGGCATGCAAATATTTATACATTTGATGAGACAAGCTGACAAGGAGACGTGGCTGCTGACCTAGAAAGCCCATAAATACAACAGTAATGGAAATTTTCAGTCACCAAACCCTTCAGCTGTAATATCGACCTAATTACCAGACATAGAAAGTAAACAGGCCCAAAGCAATCAGCAAAAGTAACAAAAGTCATTATTTTTTGAAATTAGAAAATTAATCTCAGATGGATTTGTTTCATGTTTACTGTAAAACTTAATTCATGGGAAAGTATCTGATTTCAAGCATTGTTTTTATACTAGTTTTAACACTAATGTCAGGTTTTTTTTTTTTTTTAATTTTTATAAAATGTACCATCCTTAGCCTGGCACTGGTAGCTGTTGCCTGTAATCTTAGCTACTTAGGAGGGTGGGATCTGAGGGACCAGATTTGAATCCAGAAGGGGCAGAAAAGTCTATGACCATGTTATCCCCAACTAATCATTCAAAAGCCTGAAATGGAAATGTGGTTCAAGTGTAGAGTGCTCGTCTTGAGCAAAAACACTCAGGGATAGTGCCCAGGCCATGGATTCAAGCCCCAGTACTGGGACACACAGACACACAGACACAGACACAGACACAGACACAGACACACCCACACCCACACACACACACACACACACACACACACACGATTCTTTCAATTGCGTGAAACTTTCTGGTGCTCTCAGCTGAATTCCCTCCTGCTACTCCTAGCAGGGTAGGCAGGGAGAAGGATGTTCTGGGTGTCAGCATCTCAACAGGAAGCTTTATCACATAAACTGTGACATAGCAGTCCTCATTTATGCATTCACGATTGCCCCATGAGTGAACTCTGCACAAGACACAATCTAGGGTGACACGAAAATCTAGTCATGTATGGGATGTAGACACACCTAAACAGCAGGGCTGTCATTTGGAGGCAGGGAGGATGTTTTTGTTCTTTAAAGCTTCTGTTTCTGCTCCACAAGGTGCACAGAACACGAAGCACATCAGGGGTTATCATGGGCACAACCAAGGCAACAGTTGAATGCGGTGTCATTCCCAACCCCACCCCCCAGCCTCATTCTTCCTGTAGTTGATCATAACTATGACTTTTTATTATGATTATTACGTGTTGGTTGCTCTCCATGGCAGCTTAATGGAGCCGATAGATAAGCTGGGGCTGCGTTGCTAGGGGAAAATATTTCATGTCCTGTTTCCTTGGTTCTTCAAAGAAATGGCTTCTTTAAAGCAGGTCATGCTTGATGGGAAAGGAAGGCAGGCAGATAGGGTAAGGAATGAGTGTGTGTGTGTGTGTGTGTGTGTGTGTGTGTGTGTGTGTGTGTGTTTTGGAAAACCCAAATTTACATATTCCTCAAAGCATGCTGCTAGGGGACATTATTTTCTTATCCCATTAGGGTTCAGAGTGTGCTGCAACAAATACCTCCACTTGTACAATCCCCTGCTTTTGAAACTGAAGTTGGGTAGGAAAGAGGGAGATGAGCTTCCATGTGAGACTTCACCCCCAGAAGCAGCTTTCTTCATTGCTGCATCTCTTATCAATTTATTCTCTTATCTGCCACACCATTGAAAGAAAAAAAGAATCTGAAGTTTCTCGTGTGTGTGTTTTTTTAAACTTTGTCCAGACTGAAAATACACATTTTTTTTTTAGTGTGCCGGCTGCTAAAGAGCTTCACAGTGAGTTGTTTTATAGAATGTCCCAGGGCATGTCTTATTCTTTTTGGTCACTCGAGGCAGAATGATGAGCCTGTAATGTGTTCTTTACTTAAATGACAATCGTCACTTACCAGGAAAATGCAAGTGCTAGCAAACCCTTGCAATCTGTTCTGATGGGCATATAAAATGGTCTGAAGGCAGAATTGGTGAATGGTACCTTCTTCTGGGTGGGAAGCAGTTTTCAACCCAGCAGACATCAGGAAGGGACTCAAATTATTCTAAAAGGTATTAGAATCATGTTTACTGGGCCTTGGAAACAGAGATAGAGACTCTCTAAACTAAAAAAGAGTGGCTTGGATGGTGAACTTTATACCGTTGTAGTTAAGCAAATCACCTGTCATGACAATTATGTAGACTCTTAGGAAAAACCTACACAGACTTTTCAATTAACTTGTAAGTTTTCAGCTATATCCACTGCTAATGATCTTGTTGGCAACAATATTTAAAAGAAATGTTCAAGGGGTTTGGCTGAGTTTTTGAGTGATTTGTGTAATGATGTATTTTTATGTAACTATCTCTTAGGATATTATAATCAATATTTTCTTTTACAAAAGATGTTGTAATGACAGTCAAGTATATGAAACATGCTCTACTTAGCACATTGGTTGGTTGAACTTTTTAAATTGTGTTAGAAAAGTGTAAATACATATTTTAAAGTAAAAAACTAATCTCTCACATATCATAAATAGTATGTAAAAATGAATAGGCCATCCTTACTCTTACACAAATGCTTAGAAAATAATGAAATGTGTAACCTATGAAATATTCTAGTCTTTAAACAACTGGTACTAAATACAAATTGTATTATTGCTACTTAAATACTTGTAAAAATTTTGTTCTGAAGAACAAAATAAACAGGTTTTTTTTTTTGGTCCGGTCGTGGGGCCTGAACTCTGGGCCTGGGCGCTGTCCCTCAGCTCTTCAGCTCAAGGCTAGCACGCTACCACTTGAGCCATAGCACCACTTCCGGCTTTTTTTTTTCTGCTTATGTGGTGCTGAGGAATTGAACCCAGGGCCTCATGCATGAAGGCAAGCACTCTACCACTGAGCCACCTTCCCAGCCCCCAAAATGAACTGTTTTGTGTGCTCAAATATTGTCAACTGTGTATCTGTAGATTTATTTGAACCAGGATAGAAGTTTCAGTGAACAAAATAATTCAACCACATAATGCATCAAATGACTAAGGAAATTAATAAAATCTATATGATACTGATGGAAAGCTACAGGAATCAACCACATGGGCCAACAGCTTTATAAAAAAATTTACCTACAAAGCAAAAATGTCAGCACAAATTATTCAAAAGAAGCACAACAAATGAGTAAGTTCTTGCCAGTATTGTGAGAAATCAAATACTCTTTTTCAAAATCATCGTTAGAGTATAGATTACAGAAAAATGTATAAAAGTAGTATGATTTGCTGCTAAGTTTTGTGTTTCAAATGCAGCCAGTTAAATGTATTCTTTAAATGTAATATTGCTTTGATTTTTTCCACCTTTGGTCTAAAAATATAAATAAACCCAACCCTGTCCAAGCCAAGATTGTCATACTATTATTAACAGTGGGATGGTTTGATAAATTATGTTATAAAGTTGTTTTAGTTATCATTATACTGTTTAATAAGTTACTAAAGTTACTTTAGTAATCTTTTCCCTGTTATTACTCCTTAGAGAGCTTTCTTATTGTAACCTAAATAAATCCTTAGCTTTGGCAAAATAAAAATGGATTATAAAATCCAAGAGGCCACATTAGCATTCAACATAGCTGTTACCACAAGGAGCTTAGAATCTCTCTAATAGCTACAGCCAAAAAGCAATTACTGTACAAATTTCCTGGATTTCTAAATGATGAACGGTTCATAGGTGCTTTCTCCCTTAACTTACTCTGAAGAATTCTTTTGTGGATCCTGAATCCAGTGTTCCATAAGCAATTTCTGTTTGTTTTGCCAAGTCTTCTGCACTTTCTATGGGGGAGACCATTCGCTCAACCGTCAGGAAAGCAGCCAGGTTAGCAGTATACGAGGATATTATGATGAGGGTAAAGAACCACCACACACCACCAACAATTCGACCTGAAAGGGATCTAAACACGGATAAGGTTATGCACATTTTCCTTTGTCTCACCAACAGAAAGAAGAAATATCAACAGTTCACTCTGGATTAAAAACAACAATTGCGGAATAGGGAGGGGAAACAAAGGAGGAGACTACAATGCTTGATAAGAAATGTACACATTATCTTGCCCATGTAATTGTAACTCCTCTGTACAGTATTTTCACAATAAAAAAAACCAAAAACCCAAAAACAACAATTGCAACGACTGTTTTACTTTTCAATGGTCTACTCAAGGATGAGTTTCTATAATCTGCTAAACGTTTACCTAAGACTTGAAATGTAGGTGCCAGCAAGAATGTGGAAAAATTTAGTTGGCAGAGATAGGGACTTATCTTTCAGATAGAAAATGACTTCCTTAAATTCCTTCATACCTTCCCGTGCATGTTGCCGCATCTAGGAAAGCAGGGTACAGTCTGGTGTGGATGGGCTAAAGAATGTCACGGTGGGTGTAATTGGCAGTGTTCCCTCTTCACTTAGTGGTACATAACACAGTGTTGCCTCTGGGCTATAAAATTTTCAGGTTGGCAGTTGCCTTTGTAGGCTGAGAAATAGACCAACTTTGACAACCATTAGAGTTCTGCCTTGGAGAGGCTGGACCAGATGAAGGGCTAGTGTTGGTCACAGTGATGATAGGCAAGGATTTTTTTTTTCAATGAGCATTTAATTTCTGAATTGAGTGGCGGACAAACCATGTCCTATGGTACCTGAATACACTGGAATGAAACTTTTCCTGCTTCTACCTTTCTCTGATTGTGAGGGATGTGCGAGTGTGTGCACAGAGGAAAAGGTAAAATTGACATAACATTTAATAATTCAATAATATTTATAAAATATTTTGTAATTTGTAAAATATAACATGTAATAATATTTGTAATAATTATTTTTCATAATAAAGCTACATTTCTTGAGCAAATTGTTTTTTTAACTTTTTTTTAACTATGGAGATTCATTTCACACTTTTGTATTTCTAGCATTATACTGCTCCATTACTATTTATTATTATAAAAGTGACATCTATTGGTTTTAATTTAATATTTAATCTTTGTGTGTGTGTGTGTGTGTGTGTGTGTGTGTGTGTGTGTGTGTATGTGCTGGTTGTGGGATTTGAACTCAGGGCCTGGATGCTGTTCCTAAGCTTTTTTGCTCCAAGGACAGTGCTCTCCCACTTGAGCCACAGAGAAGCTAAGGAACAAAGCCCAGGCCCTGAGTTCAAGCCCCATGAATGACAAAACCCCCACAAAAAGTAATAAATAAATAAATTAATTAAAAAAACCAAGAAATTGGCTGTGACTACACTTATGGTAATTTGAGAATTGCAATTGTTTTTTTTTTTTTTTTTTTTTCTGTGAATCAAATACTGGTTACTTGCAGGAGAAGGAAACTTCAGAGATTTAAAATAGTTAAATTCGGTTCAACATTTAGAAAATCTGGGCAGGAGCTGTTTTTTGAAACTAACCTGGGTGAAATGTCACATCCTTGTTGCATAAAAGCACCCAGGGAAAACCACAGGCTATTGAAAATGCCAAACTCATTGGGAGGCTGGTCGCTAGGTCCCTCCTTTCCGTCTTCCGGCTCTTCCGTGTGCCACTCATAAGGGCTGAACCTACTAACTAGGAACAAGACCACGCTGACACCAATGTAGGCAAAGACTATGCACATCCAGATCTCATAGGCCAGAGGATCCAAGAAGGAAAACACTCCTGGTTTAGATTTCTGGGGCTTTTTGATCATGATAGAGATGCCCAAACTCATGAAGGGCTTAGAGAAGTCAATGACCTCTTCCCGTACCAAAGTGATCGTCAGAGGGGCAATCGCAATCTCTGCTTTCTATAAGAGAAAAGACACATGCAAGCACATCATTAATAGATTCCGTGAAGCGTCTAGCATTAGAGTGATCCATGCAAAGTCAACTGATCATGCATTCACTTTAGTTTTTCTTTCTAGGATTCTCTGAATAATCACAGTTAAAGATGAAAATGTAGTTTCCATAAGATAGTAGCTAAATTACAGCAACCCTCCCCTCCCTCCCTCCCTCCCTCCCTTCCTTCCTTCCTTTCTTCCCTCTCTTCCTTCCTCCCTCCCTTCCTCTTCTCTCTTCTTTCCCTTCCTCCCTCCCTCCTTTCTTTTTCCTCTCTTCTCTCTTATTTAGTTAGTTTTTGAAACAAAGTCTTTTTTTTGGGGGGGGGGGGGTCCGGTTGTGGGGCCTGAACTCTGGGCCTGGGTGCTGTCCCTCAGCTCTTCAGCTCAAGGCTAGCACTCTACCACTTGAGCCACAGCGCCACTTCTGGCTTTTTTCTTATGTGGTGCTGAAGAATCGAACCCAGGGCCTCGAGCATGCAAGGCAAGTGCTCTACCACTGAGCCACCTTCTCAGCCCCTGAAACAAAGTCTTATAGCCAAAGCTGAACTCAAATTTGGGCCTCACCCTTTGGATGCTAGCACCTGGCCATGGCTGAGTGTGCACAACATTTGTATTGGTGCTAGCAGTTTGATAAGAGGATGAGCAATAGGAAAGAGTGGATAAGTAAAATAACTTGAACTCAAATGACTCTGTTTAAGGATCTGGAAGAGTGCAGAGGAAGAGACTTAATAGTCTTTCCATATGGCTGAATTTCTGAATTTCTTGGCCAGGCCTGCTGCTAGGCTACAGCCCTTTCTGTTTCATTTGGAAGGTTGCCACAGATTCATTACTTGGCCACCCTCAGTGTTATGAATTGCAAATTTCAAACAGTCCTTTCTTCTTTCTTCCTTTCCAGCTATTAGAAAAACCAATCATAAAGTCTGTGTTTGTATGATAAAAGACAAGCCTTTGTTTGACAACATTTTTCAACTCAGTCCCCCACAAAAATCTGGAAATGGGCTTTTCCTCCCCTGGCACATCCTTTCATTTTTCTACTCCCATTAATAAAAAGATTCTGGGACACAGTCACTTCAGAAGATATTACGATTATAACTCGGTTGCCTCCTTTTCAGAGTTCTTGATGGTCAGCAATTCTCTCTCCAGTGTCTATGAGTATAAAATGAGACTATCGCTTGTCTGTTTATTTCAAAGCGGTTCCTGTGATTATCTATTAAAATCCTTAATAGGCTTTTAGTGAGTGTGTATTGAGGGATTTCATATCTGATGCTGATGACAATATTTTAAATGGTTCATTTAATGCTCTTAACAATCTTATTTTTCTCCATCTTGTGGATGGAGGCTTTGAGTGAGGAGTTTTACATATCACGGCTGCTCTGGGGTCTGAGCCTGTTTAATCCTAGCAACTCAAAAATCAAATGAAAAAAAAAAATGAGGTGTAGAAACCAAGAGTCGTATGATCCTTACATCGAAAAGGAGTTTTGATTTACTTTAAAATAAACACATTTGGGGCTGGGAAGGTGGCTCAGTGGTAAAGCGCTTGCCTTGCATGCATGAGGCCCTGGGTTTGATTCCTCAGTACCACATAAGCAGAAAAAAGCTGGAAGTGGCCCTGTGGCTCAAGTGGTGGAATGCTAGCCTTGAGCTGAAGAGCTGAGGGACAGTGCCCAGGCCCAGAGTTCAGCCCCATGACTGACAAAATAAAAATAAAATCACTTGACACCAAAAACATAATGACAAACATTTTCATATCCTAGGGCTCCTTGGACTGATGTGAGAGGGTCAGCCAGGAATGAGGATGGAGAAGATACACTGAAATCAGGCTGTCACTTGGGGACTGAGATTTGGCCTTATACCCCTTCAAGTGAGAATACACGGACATTTTAGCCTAAATGTCCATGTATGCTAAAACGAGAACTATTATTTGGTCTGTTGTTACCATTTCAAGGACAATAATTTTCCATATACAAGTAATATTAGAACCTGCAATAGAAAAATTAGCACATAAAAGCAGATCACAAATTAGACTGTGTTATCTTGCTCTTATCACTTACTCTTCTTCATTCTTTATTCCCTGCTAGACTTCGCTCTAAGATGATTGTCCTTTTTTGGGGGAGAAGGGAGGGCTGTACCAGGGCTTGAACTTAGGGCCTAAACACTGTCTCTGAGCTTTTTGGTTGAGCCACAGTTCTACCTCTGGCTTTTTGCTGGTTAACTGGAGATAAAAGAGTCTCACAGATTTTCCTGCTCTGGCTGGTTTTAAACCACAACCCTCAGATCTCAGCTTCCTGAGTAGCTGATTGCAGGAAAGAGCTATTGGCACCTGGCCTATTTTTCCCTTTTTACAAAATAGAGCCACACAAAAACTATGTTTCATGATTTCTTTTCTCAATAGAACACGATATCTATTTTCTTATTTCAACATGCAAATCTAAATTAAGTTTCTATTATTCCAAATATTGTATATCTTATATACAGTGAAAATTTTAAAAAATTCAGTCAAATTCCTATTTTGTGGGGTAGCTGTACTGTTTCCAGCTTTGCACAATTTAAAACTGTAGCTATGAAAAAATTTTAAAGACAAGTTTTCACACATGTCTTGACTATTTAAGATAAATTTCTAGGACTGGGGATGTAACTTAGTGGAAAGAATCCTGTTTAGCACATATGAAGTCCTGGGTTTGATGTCCAGTCATTGAAAAAAAAGACATTTTTTTAATGTCAAGGTATATTTTCCTCCTTTCTTCAAAAGTATCACAAATTTGCAATGTCCCCAGAACCACCTATACGAAAGCATTTTCAACCTTGATCTCTAGAACCTGCTTGCGCTTCTTTACATTCCTGTTTATCTTTTCCAGTTTTCTACAGGGAAAAGTAGAAACTCATTGTTTTGTTTCTTGACCCAAGGCTCTGCTATGCAGTCCCAGGCTTGTCTCAAAATTTCTACACAGCCTAAATTGACCTTGAGCCAATACTCTTCCTGCCTCAGTCTCCCTTTGGCTAGGATTACAGGCACGAAGTACCACATTTGGCCACACTATGCAAGTTTAAATTTTGTGGCAGTTCTATGACATTGTCTTCTTGTGTTCTCAGCATTTCCTTTCATAGTATAGGAATATCTCTTTCTTGTCAATATGACATACTGACCATTCCCAATCTAAAAGTCAGTCATCTGAAGTGAGTGTCAACATATTGACACATGTAGAAAATTCTACGTGATATAGGTTGTGATCAAGATTTGGTTCAATGTACAGAAACTTGGTTTACCGAACAAAGTTATCTACAATTATATACCAAATTACATTCAAACCATCTACAAGGTATGGACTAAACACAAATGAATTTTTGTGCTTTTGACTTGGAGGTCCTTTCCCAAAATATTTTATTAAATATATGCAAATCTTCCCAAATCAGAAAAGACTCCTATTCTGAAATTTTTTGGTCTCAAGTATTTTTCATAAAAGGCTCAATCTGTAGTTCTAACACAATAACATAAATGCCTAAAAGTTGCTTACTATACCAGAAGTTTAAAACAGCATGCAAGAACAAATATATTAGAGGCCCTTTTGTCTTTGAAACGTAATACTCACTATGAACTTGTTCATGAATTTGGGGGTAAAATATGATTTGCTTTTTTAAAAGCTGCATTTCCCTGCCTTCATTTAAGGGTCACGCAAGCAGTCAGCAATCCTCCCTCATGGATATAAAACTGATGGCTTTATAATGTCTAACCAGTTCCTCCTGCTGAGACTTTTAGCTGCGATACTGTTCTGGACAGAAAATACTCACTGCTTCATGTCCTGAGAAACAAGATGCAGAATTATGACTGCACTTCTGGCTAGGAATTCGAGTCTCTCTGAGGACTTAAGTCCTAAAGATTTCCATCGGTACTTTTTTTCCCCTGGGGAATGATTTTTTTTCCTTGTGCCAGTCCTGGTGTTTGAACACAGGGCCTAGGCACTGCCCTTGAGCTTCTTTTATCTTAAGGCTAGTGCTCTACCACTTGAACCACAGCTCCATTTCTGACTTTTTTTGGTAGTCAACTGGAGATAAGAGTCACACTGGACTTTCCAGCTGGGGCTGGCTTCTAACTGAGATCCTGAGATCTCAGCCTTTGGAGTAGCTAGCATGACAGGTGATAGTCACACCCAGCTTTCTCTCTATCACCTTTTTACTGTGAAGGGAATTAGCAGAGAAGAAATGCTTTGAAAGTGAAATGTGAAACAGAAGCCTAGCTTTAAGAAACTTCAGAACACATTTCAAGCACATGTGACTTCGGTTGCAGGCTAAGCAGGGCTTGCTGTGAATTCTATACAGACTGTGTTTCTCATGTATAGGCGTAGCTTGCCTCTCCTAACCGTCAGCCCGATTTTACACACTGCAGTGGTGGCCGATGCAGTGATTGTGATCTTGTTCGTTCAGGCGGGGAGGATGGTGCTGTTTTTGCCCTTGGCTATCAATGTTACACGGAATACCCTTCATACAATAGGGAAGAGCCCGGCTGCTTCGTGGGAGGCAGAAAAATTCTAGCTTTGGTGTGTTGTTATGGATGCTAGAATAAGAACTAAAAACAGATGCATTATATAAAGTGTAAATTGGTGGTGTCCTGGGGGAATTGTAAGCTTCTCACATTATTGATGAATATGTTTTGAAGATTATCTTTAAATAGTTATACAAAGGGTGTGTTTCAATTCAACATATCATTCAAAAAGTACAATGCATGTTGATCAATGTCACCCTTCCCGCTGCTCTCCCCCATCTCTCCCCACCCCACCCAGGTCATCCTCTACTGACTTGGCTCCATTTTTACATAGGTGCATTGAACACAGTGACTGCATTCATCCGCCCTTCCACTCTCCTTTCCAATGCCTCCTGATATTTAATACAAATGAAGGGTTCCATTTTCACAAATGTACATTGAATATGACTGCGTTTGCCTACCTTTCCACTCTCCATTTGTATGCCCCTTGGTGAATATTTTTATAAAAACTAAAGAAGTGTGTGATGAGTGGTTACTTAAAAGATACTTAGGAGCAGTTATGAACTCTGGTTATGTAATGAGTAGATAAATAGGAAAAAAATGACCAACTTTACACTGTTGGCGGAAATCCATTCCTGTAATTTGTCAACTAACACAAAACTGTAGAACTGTTTCACGGTTCTAACGGTATAGCACAGATTCACCAGTCATTTCTTAAAAGTAGGATGGCATATTCTGAATGTGAATATTTTCTGATTTTGAAGTCAATACCAGTGTCATTCTTTGGAAAGTGCATACTTTTTTCTTAGTGAAGTACGGAGCCACGGGAATATTCTTTATGCCTCTGGGAACATAGCGGTAAACTGAACAAACGGTAATAGATGTGTACACACGAAGACGTACCTAACGAAAGGAAGTGAAGTTTTCAATAAATGGATTTGCTTACCCCGTAAACAAGCTCTCCTACCATCCCATTCCAGATTTTGGTATCTGCATCCCTTGCTCCATATTTTCCGTCTGGGACAATGGCAATTTTATACTTGATACCAATATGCTTTGCAATTTCAGATGCCAAGTCCACACAGTATCCTTCATACTTGTCGTTTCCTTCAAACATTTCGTGATTTTTCTTGTACATAACATAGGGGGATTCCTATAATGAGAGAAGTAGAACTGTAAAGGAGAAACTGTAAAATATTTGAAAAACCGTTCTGTAACTGTCCAGGGTCAGAGTTTGAAAACCTTTCATGTAACTGTCCTGTTTCAGATTTTAGTATTGATAGCATAGATGAGTTGAGGTGGCTACACATTAAACAGATCAGTATATGAATATGTTTAGAAGGATGTGAACTTGCAGAGTAAAATCTGCAGAGTAGCTGCCCATTGAGTGATTGTTACATACCTAGCACTGTGGTGGTGATAGGAAAAATGCCCATTGGTATTTCTCTAGAGAGCGTTATCTTCTTTAGCAATGAAATGAGCACGTGTGAAATGTTTCATGAAATGAAGAGCTATTTAGTGTTCAGTTTAGTGTAATGAAAGCTTATTAAAGGCCACATGCCTCCACGTAGTCCATTTTTTAAGCCATGTTCTGCTGTGACTTTCTTTAGGGAAAGTGTTTTATCATTTTTCTTTGATCACTAATGCTTTTCTCAGAGCAAGCAGTAGCTGCAGAATAGTTCAAAGAGGCAAACTGATAGTTCAGAAATCCTATGTAGCTTGTTACTTGCATTAAAATTGCTTTCCCACAGTGTCTAGTTTTTTACTTTTAAAAAGGTTGTGGAAGCTAATGGTTCTGTAGTTGTGAGTAAACACTCGAAGTGGTATTCTCATTTTGTTTTCTAAGCAAGTGAGTCAGAAAATATGAAGAATTACTGTGACCATGCTTACAAATAAAATGTCGGTGGCTAGTAACTTCTAGGCTTTTATGATACATATAACACACACATCAAACCAGTTAACAGCATCAATTAAAGAGACATGCAAAAAAAATATTTGATTTTATAAATGGCACCTAAAGCCACCAATTAAAAGGTAGTGTAATGAATCTCCAGTACGGAGAGAGTTTTTGGTCACATCTTATTTGTTCACTACTTTTGGGCCCAACATTACTGAATGTAACATGTATTTTATAGAGTGTGTTATCACCTGTAGTGGTGGTTGACAGTAATCTTTCCTTTTCCCTGTGACTGACGAAGTTGACTTAGCTCTCGGAGCTTTGTGCTACAATTTACTTTGCAGAACACGGCAATCCACACCAGCAGTGACCTTTTTTTTTTTTTTCTTAAAGTACTACAAGAGGACAACTCCATTTTCAAGACTCAATAGAATGTAGAAATTAAACGATTTTTTCTCACAGAGATGCCCTAAATGTGACTGTACATGGAAAAATTGTCCAAGATTTTCTGTGTATCCTTTTTCTCTGTTCTGCTTTTACTTGGCTTGGCCAAGTCACTCATATAGCTCCCCTTTCTTGGCATTTGACAAAATATTCTAACACTGAAGGAAAAAAGGTAAAGAAAGTTTCCTGCATAAAATTAGGCACCTAATCATCACTAATGATAAAAAATGTTATAGAAAACATTTTGCCACTTTCTAGGAGTTTTTTTTTTTTTTTTCCAAATTATCAGTGTGCTGAAGAAGATTGGCAAGTTGTTGTAAGGTTAATTTCTAAGATACACTGCAAAACAGTAGTAGTCATTGCGAACAATCTGGGCATATTTTTTATTATAGCTTAATCAAAACATGAATGATTATATAGATAGCAGGATGTTGGCAGAATGGTTAACATTCTAACTGAAGTAATTATATCGTACTACAAGCTGAGGATTTATGTGAAGGTGCATAGCATGACTCATTTGGCAAAAGGTTGAAGTAGATTTTTGAACAGGAATTTTGTCCCTAAGTTTTCATGCATGTTAGGTACCCATGTTATTGTATTGATTCGGTGTTAAATTTAGCAAGTAATTTAAACTGTTCAATTTTCTCTGTATTATATAGTGAACAATTTTCTTAATGAAAATCTGCATGGCTATTATTTAATCAAACATCTACTAAACATCTCCTGTGTGCCAGACAAGCTTGCTAGGAGATGCAGATTCCAAAAAAAATACATAAAATTTGTCTTGTCCTTTTGTGATGACAAGTCATATAAATTTTTTTTGTAGTCAGGTTACAGCGGTACGAATGGTGGGGAAAATAATATTTAGCAGTGAAAAAATCATAACAACTCTTACTTAGTGCTACTCCATGCCAGATACAAAGCCTTAAGTCTTTATGCCCTTTTAGTAATGCCACACCTTCAAGTAGGCATTCCTCATTTGCACATGGAGACATGAGGAGTCAGGGAGGTTGTGTAATTCCCAGAGCTAACAGATGACAGTGTGTGAGTTACGTTTACACTTCGAATTATCTGAATTTCTGAAACAATTTGTATACCCAATCTCGATAGATACAACAAACCGAGATGGCCCATGATTTCTAGCAAATCACTAAGGGGATTTGTGGGGCATCTTTGCAGAAGTCTTATTAGGGTCCCAGGCGTTCAATTACAAGTAGAAATGGAAGGATCTGAGGAGTGAAATGTGACCTCTCCTTCTGAATAGTATAACCTTGTTTATTGTCTTGTTTACTGTCACTAACGGTGCTCTGTGGGACAACAATCTCTTGGAAGTCATTTTACAAGTATTTCTTCCTAGTGATGACCAGTTTATGATGATAACTTCCATCGTGTGACGGTGCTGCACATCTGCCCTGTGATAGATGGAAGGAAATATAATCACAGTTATGTGAACTTTGATATAAATGAGTGAAGGGGAGTCCCAAACAAGAATCCTTTTCCTACTGTATTTAGCAAACAAAATGAGGTTAGTTGAATCTCAAACAAACCATCCTTTTCTTTCTGTCTTTAGCAATAACAAGACTGTGGAAACAAGATGCTTAGTAGCAAGAACACTAACTTTTCTAAATATCGCCCCCAAGATCCACTACAATGACCTTTGAAAACCACCTAAATAATGAAATCAGTTAATTTTCAGCCAATATGCTTAGCTAACTCTCCAAAGAATCTTAATAGAAAATATATACTGTATGAGTAAACATGTTTTAAGATGGCAGTGGAGATTTTTTTCTCCTCAAAAAACCCCAAGTAACTTGAATGTTTGAACATTTTAAGTTCAGCAAAAATAGCCTAGTTAAAAAGCAATAAGCCATTTGATGGAATGTATACCTAGCAGAGGGGGGCGTGTTACTATTTGGTACAAGGAAGAAAATAATGCCTTTGTGTTTTTGTACATATGTCTATCCATACATAAACATATATTTGTATGTTATTATAAATGTGCATACTGTGTATATGTAAAACATTTTTTGTGTAGGCACAAAATTTTACATAGAGGCGAAAACATATTAAATACTGCCTAAACTTCTGGAAAGATTAAGTGTGATAGATGGGCGGAGTTGTTTTTAGGTTTGCAAGATAATTCTGAGGGTATAGTGAGTAAATTTGGTTTTATGGAATTTCTTCCTAAAGGACTGTTATAAATCAGAAGGAAATACATTGTGGCTAAATAATGTGTCCTACCCACTCTATCTGATGTTAGTAGTAAACCTTTGAGAAGAAAGAACTTGTCTGAAATATCATTGAAACATCTTTTGATTGCTAAATACAGTTCGGTAGCCAAAAAAGGCAGTGAAATTAGAGGGAAGATGACCACACATCTCTTCTCTCCAAATTGGCTGTAAATTTCCTTTTCCACAGTTGCCATACTTAACCTAGTCCTACGGCCCAACATTATTACTTTGAATGCAAACAGTCGCTGTGTCATGTATAACAACAGAGTGTGATAAAATCTGTAGTCAATAAAGCCTAAAGATAAAACTAGGAAAATGCCAATTTAGTTTCCATTTCAATTTAGCTATACCATAAACAATATGACTACCTTCAGGTAGTGAGGATTTATTTAAGTCATCCTTAAAAATAAGATCACTTTGTAGATATAAACAATACTGTTGGAGGAAAAAAAAATCCCAGTAGCATAAAAAAATAACATTACGTTTTGTTTCCAAATGATCACTGTTTTGTGCATGAATTATGAATCCATTTTCTCTCACTATGACATGAAGTTCCCCTGAGTGTAGTTTTTGTCTGTTTTGCTCTATGACATATCCCCAGGGTCTATTACTGTGCCTAGCATACAGCAGACGCTCAATAAATATTTATGATGAATAACTGAATTTCTCAATCAATTTTATTTAACAGTAGCACACATCATTACAGTGTATCAACATATAAATAACAGCATACACAAAGGAAAGACAACTTTTAAAAACATCAAATGCCATATCAAGTCTGATCAAGATGGATCATTTCCATTGCTCATTCTTATCCTCTTTCTGTATCTAGATAGCCATAGTATATGCATTACAATATCTAGCCAATCCCATCTGTACTGGGTGTTTCCATGAATTTAGTTAATTATTACATGCAGGTGTCAATACCTCATTCATCTACAATAATGTTTCTTTCAAAGTGAATGAGGTGGCCGAGTTATCAATAAATGTAAATACAAAGATACCTTCAGGGAAAGGATTCTAGTATGCTTTTTGGAATTATTGAATGATTGTGCAGTTGTAAATACTAGATGAATTACTTAAAGGAAGATTACATTGTTATACAAAAGACAGACACTAAGATTACACTATTTTGATAGCAAAAATATTGATGGCATCATTGTCAAACAACAGATATTTTGTACAGAGTATTTTTCACATATATAGAAACAATTGGATATTTTACTTTTTTTATAGCATGCCTTCCCCAGAACTAGTCATGCTTGAAAATTCAATTCAGTATTTTGGTTTTATGAATTATATATTCAATCTCTAGTAGCAGGGATTGAAAAGGATACTCGCTACATTATACCTATAGTGAACATTAACACATTTATTTCACAAAACAGGCAAAAATATTCAAAAAAGCTTTTCTAAGGGAAACACGGTATATTTGGGAAAACAAGCCCACAAAATCAGATTTTGGCTTTTAGAAAATCTACCCCCGGAAATAGGAATGATATAATTTCATTCTTTATGTATTCGGAGCTCATTGTATGAAATGGGAATTGGTATGTCAGAATTTCTAAATGATTCTTTTTCAACTTCTATCTTCTTGAAGAGGCTGAGGATTAATTCTTCTTCAGATTTTTAGAATCTCAGACAAGTCACACATAATTTTTTAAAAAAAATTATTTTCTACAGTCCAGAGTTTGGTCAACCAAGAAGAATTCCACATGAAAAATAAGCTTAAATTTACTACACAGGAGAACAAGATTTGAACCTTAGTTGGGAATGGTCGAACATCGTTGGAACTCTTTTCGTCCTTGATCAATTTCTGAAAATAGGGTTCTTCATCAGAGGCTGCAAAGAGGAGGACCGTGCTGAAGTTTGACTTTCCATTACCATGGCCTTTTTTTTTTTTACTTTTGTGGCCTTTTTTTTTTAGGAAAAGAAATATATATTTATATTGCTTTTCAAAGTCCCATGCAAATAGTACACGATTAAGTTAGAAAGGTTTACACAGACACTGCTTTTGGTTGCTTTGTATTCTAAAAATCATTAACTTCCAATCAAGACTTAGAAGCTGGTGGATCCAAGGCAGAGGCAACTAATTGCAACCTAAAAATGCTTCTCTTTGGTGTTTCATGTTCTGACTTCAATGCCAGTGTTGCATCACTAAAAAACCTAAAGCTAAAAATTAAAATCATGTAAGCTAAAAAAAAAAACCCTAAATAACATAAAAGGCTTCCATTTTATTTAAAGCAAAGGCTTCCATACATAATTAATCATTTGTTTTGCCTAAAGAGACAGTGAGCCGAGGATATAAAACTGGAAATTAAATAGGAAAGGTCACCGATTGTTGATCTCTCTTGACTACCATTGACTCTAAAGGGCATGTTTGACTTTAGAAGAGGGGGAAAGATATATATGATATTCTATTATTTAAAACACGAAAGCCGTGTTGTAAAAGCGGCCTTAAAATGTGGCATAGTTTTCATTTTGCATGGTCAAATGAAGCAATCATATTTTTCTTAATTCTTAGAATAAATTAGATGTGTTTTTCTCACTTGTCAACGAGAAAAATAATCGGTGCAAAAAGCCTCTTTAACATTAAAAATGAATATAAGAGAAAATTAACTTCTAATGCATCCAGTTATATAAAGCATGCCCATTAAAATCATCACATTAACTTCTCCACTCTTATAAACAGACAATTGAAATCATTCTGTTGATGATTAAACTGAGCTGATGATAACCTGAACAGGAGCATTTTCAAACACGATTAACTATGATTACATTGATGTCTGTAGAAATGTAATGACAACAATAGGGTTTTCCACTGGGTATTTTCATGACGGGATGTTGACTTTGTGGTGCTCAGGTTCTGTGTCTGGGTCTTAAGTGTTTTACACATTTCCACTAGAGTTTGAGATGCTCTTTTTGTTGTTGTTGTTTTTAACATGTGTGCATTCTTCCAGGAACAACAATGCAACAAAAGGTAACACAAGCAAAAGTACTGAGTGTACTCAGGCTCCTATTCAAAGCCTCAGTAGACTTTTGGTGAATCAGCTATACCCACCCTGTTAACCATGGCTGGGGAATTAAAACTGCCTGTACACGAAACGAAACACCATGAAGCATACACCAAAACTTACCATGATTGTGGTTACAACAACTGTTCTGTTCTCAATGGCTGCTGTGTCATTGCCCAGCGTGGGTACATCTTGAATCAAGACCAGTTTATCCATATCATTCCAGTAACCCACCTGTAAAATAATAAGAATAAAATTACCTGAAACCACGCTTACCTTTTCTTGGAACAATGAATGATCTAATTAAGTAAGTGACCAGACCCAAGTTAAGAGGCAAATTGTTTAAAAAGTGAAAATTAAAAAGCAAATTAAAAAAAATAAAAGGATGACCAGTCAGTTTTCTTGGTACTCAAGATAATGGCCTTGTTAATTACTTAATAAGCTTGTCATTTACGGACATGGAGTAGAAAAACTAAACTGGTAAGGGATGTTGGAAAAACATTCATTTCCTTCGGACACTGGAAATAAGATGAATACTCAATAAACATATATGGTGGACTCAATGTGCAATGTTGTTTGTCTTGAGATTGAGGGACCTCTGTTGTACTCAAAGTTAATTCTTTGGAGAACTCCTTTGATCAGACATGTATGGAAAAATCTGGCTAAATTCTCACACCAGCTCTGAATGGTTGAACAAGTGAATGACTGAATGAATGAATGATATGGACACTGGGGGTCAGTGTTTCCTTGTGGTCAAGACAGTGAGCTTTGGAGTAACTGAAGTTTGGCTTCTGCTCTATCTCCACCTCTTTTAGGCTGACGATCTCTGAGCAGGCTACTTAATTTCTCTGTAATTCACCTTTCTATAGAACTGAGAGACATATTTTTGTACTGTCCTGATAATGATATGTAAAAATGCACATTGGTTTCCTATAATGAGGACAGGCATATAACCTGCCCTCACTGGGTGAAATCTCAATCCTTAAGAATTCCTGAAATGGGGGGCTGGGAAGGTGGCTCAGTGGTAGAGCGCTTGCCTTAAATGCATGAGGCCCTGGGTTCGATTACTCAGCACCACATAAGCAAAAAGAAAAAAGCCGGAAGTGGTGCTGTGGCTCAAGTGGTAGAGCGCTAGCCTTGAGCTGAAGAGCTGAGGGACAGTGCCCAGGCCCAGAGTTCAGGCCCCATGACCGGACCACCCCCCTCAAAAAAAAAAGAATTCCTGAAATGGGCTGGAAGTGTGGCTCAAGTGGTAGAGTGGGCATCTGCCTGACAACAGGAGGGCCTGAGTTCAAACCCCAGTACCTCCCCTGACCACAAGAGGGAATGGGAGAGGGAGAGGGAGGGAGAAAGAGAGAGGGGGGGAGGGAGAGAGAGAGGGAAAGAGAGAGGGGGAGGGAGAAAGGGAGAGAGGAAGAGAGAGGGAGGGAGCAGGAGGGAGGGAGAGTAGGGACAGAGAAGGGAGGGAGAGAGATGGGAGAGGGAAGAGAAGGGAGGGAGGGGGAGAGAGAAGTGAGGGGGAGAAGGGGAGAGGAGGGGAGAGAGGGGAGAGGAAGGGGAAGGTGGGAGAGAAAAACTCCTGGAACTGTAGGAGGCTGTCACCTGTCAGTAGTGGTTAGGGCTCATCATCCTACTCGGAAGACTCCACCATAGGTCGGGGCCTGGACTTCAGAAAGATTTGCATCTCTGCTTAATGAGACTCCATCCGATGTTCAGTTACAGGAGTGAGACAAATCGATAGGTTGGCTCTGATCCATATTCAAGGCTAGCTCCCTCGCTAAGGCAAGTGTGCAATGAACAAGAGCGATTGCTCACTTCTCAGACTTACCACACGGCCTCTCCAGCACTGCTTCTCATGGTGGCTCATTTTTAAACGTTAATATTCCTGATGGAATACCCGAGTGCATCGTTGGCACGGGAGAATGAAGACAGATAGGCCTGCACCATTTTACACTTCATATTTCTTTTAAGAGTCTTAGGTGAAAGTCAGCTGGGTGTAAAGATACACTGCTTGTGACTCTCCCAACTTCCTCGTTAACTCTCTCCCCTAAAACCTTAGTTTTTGCTCTCATTGTGACTCAATAAGCAGTAGAGAAGATGCACAACCACTAATAGCTTACTTGGTATTACTGCCTCTCCTTTCTTTCTCATGAAAGGTTGGCTGCTTGGTGACCTGTCTTTGTGACTAATGAGTCAACTATTTTGTTATTTCTTTTTGTGGTAGTGAGATTTGAACTCAGGGCTTCACATTTGCTAAGGAGATGTTCTACCACGAAAGCCAAGCCTCAGCCCTTTTGTGCTTTATTGGTGGATTGATTGCTTGGTTCTCGATTGATTGGATAGCATCTCGTATCTTTGCTGAGGCTGGCCTTAGACTGTGATCCTCCAACCTATGTCTACTGCATAGCTCGGAGTACAGACTATCATCCATTGCAACTGCCTTATTTGTTGAGATGAGGGTCCTGCTAAGGTTTTCCCTGGGATGGCCTCAAGTTGCAATCTTCCCATTTTCACCTCCTGAGTAGCTGAGATTACAGGTGTAAGCCACCATGCCTGGTCCTAACCAAGAGTATTGTCTGTTCCACAGATGAACAGTTTGCTTTCTTTTGCTGGCAGTGGGCCAGCAGAGTGGGTAGAGCAGACAGTCAGGGAAGCCAGCGAGTTTCTTCTTGGGAACCGTGGATCCTTGCTTTGTTAGAGGAGCTTCGTGTGGGCACCATTTGCCTGCCTAACTGATGTGTAGCAGACAGACTCAGTGTCTTGGGTATTAGCTGGCAGCCTGCACACACATGCCATTAAAAGGTTGGGGTGGATGGTATTCAAGGCTGTGCCATGGAAACACAGGTGCAGCAGTACATTTGCCCAGTAGCAAAGCACAGCAGAGAAAGCCTCTGTGCTTTCTGACCCGCCCTTAACAATGCTGCTTCCTGCTTTCTTCCCAGTTATTGCCCTGCCTCGATCCACCTATCAGCTCTGTTTTCCAGGCTAACCCTGAGCCCCGCCCTCACCATGTCCACTGCCTACATGTTCCTCTCTTTATGAATTCAGTATCTTGCCTGGGTGCTAGTGGCTCACACCTATAATCCTATCTGCTCAGAAAGCCGAGATCTTAGGACCCCCAGCTCCAAGCAAGCTCAGGCAAGAAAGTTGGTGAGACTCTTAACCCCCAAAACCAGCAAAAAGCTGAAAGTGGAGCTGCAGCTCAAGTGGTAAAGTGCTAGCCTTGAGCATAAAAGCTCAGTGACAGCGCTCAGGCCCTGAATTCAAGTCTTAGGACTGGCACATGCACACCACACACACACACACACACACACACACACACACACACACACACACACACACACACACACACACACACACACACACACACACACACACACACACACACACACACACACGTAAGTATGTTCTACCTTACTAGAAAATAAATTCCACCCAGAGCAGATTCAGGCAGGGCCAGATAATTGAAAATTCTACAGTTAGTTGCATCTGAACTAAAGTCTGTTTTTCTCCTTTGACACAAAGGAAGAATCTAATACTATTCAAATCACAGGCTTGTTGTATGAGATTCAAGTATTATGTAAAACTCCAAGATCAGTAGTGAGGCGTAGCAGGAATTTCATAAATTGTAGCTATCATTAAGACATTAAAGCATCAGAGCATATTTTGGAAAGAATTCTTTGAACAACTAAGTACTGAAAAAGGTTTTAGATAATGCTAACTTGAACATCTGTTTTTTTTTTCCCCCCTTGAAATCTCAGAAAATCCTACAGAAAATCCTCCATGTTCATTGTAAGGTGCTGGTGGGGTTATACAGTTGCCTTGTTTGAAGAATGTCAGGAAGGTGGTTTCCCTCTCTCAAATGGCTTCACAAATAATAAATGGAAGTGCTTTTTGTCTCTTTACTGCATCTTGATTTTTTCTGTGCAGTAAGTTTTGTGGGATCTCTCTCTCTCTGTCTCTTGTATGCACTACTAAGTTTTAAACTAGGCAAGTGCTCTACCAGCTGAGCAATGTTCTTAACCCTTTTTGCTTTAGTTATCTTTCAGATAGAATATCATGCTTTTGTCTTGAGAAACACCTTGGAGTGTAATCCTCCTACCTCTTCTCCTGTATAACTAGTATTATAAGCACGGGCTACCATTCAGAGCCTATTTTGTGGAATTCTTTTTGCTAAGCACTCTTCCCTGGCCATAATAATTCCATTATAAACAGAGGATCTTGGTAATGCGTAAATTAGAAGTTTCAGCTTTAGCACATCATTCAATATCAGCTTTATGCCATAAGAACTTATCTCAGCACAGATTATCAAGACAATACTACATGTTAGTACTCTCTAAAGACAAAGTGGAAATCTCTCACCCATAGCCCTTCACAGATGCCACAGGCAAACTAGGAACACAGAATCTTCTCTCTCCCCCCGCCCCTACGGTTAAAATTGTTCCTCACCTTTCGCGGCCCTGTGCTCTTTAGCTCAAACACATCCATCGTGTAGTTGACTCTACGTCCATAGTGGTCAAACTGGACATTGCCAGTCAGCCCTTGAATCCGCACCTGCAAAGGAAAGAGAAAAGCGTAGGTGCTCATTTGCCCTTTCCCTTATCCACTCCACTTTGCACCTGCCTGGATGAAGACCATACAGGATGGAAAACACACAGAATGGGGACCACACAGGATGGAGACCACACAAGATGGAGACCACACAGGATGGAGAACTACAGGCTACAACCAAGATACCAGGATGACATTGAGTGTTCAAGCTATTGAAGTGTAATCAGAGACTGTCAAAGGGATCTAAAGAACCAGTTTGCTGTATACTTAGAAGAGGGCTGTGTTTATGCCTTATAAAGTTTCCATTTCAACTAACAGATTTCTTCTTCAATACATGAAGTATTTTTTATAGGAATATACCGAACATTTACTTTTAGTTAGTGACTTTGGGTTTTATGCACATCATGGAATAGGTAGTCCCAATACCCATTCTAGAATACATTTTCTCTTTGTGAAAATCGAAATTATGGTATAAGAAATGGTGAAAAATACTCATGCTCAGATGATGCAAAATTTCTTTTTAATTCACTCCCTCCAGTTCTAGGGTTTGAGCTTAGAACTTCACACTTGCTTATCTTGAGTTCTTGGATGGTGCTCTATCACTTGAACCATGCCTCCAGCTTGGCTTTTTGTTGGTTAATTGGAGATAAGTGTCTCAGACACTTCTGCCTCAGCTGCCTTTGAACCATGATCCTCCTGATCTCAGCTTCAGTAGCTAGGATTATTGGTGTGACCCTCTGGTGTCCGGCAAAATAGACCTTTTTGTGATACTAGTCTTTCTGGTTCACTTTTCTGCTTTGAACCAACGACATTACAGAAGATTTAAATCTATCTAGTCATTATATATAACATCTGTATTGTATGTCTAGTCATTATATATTACATATATTATAAATGTCTAATCATTATATGACATTGTATTATATTTTATAATATATACATACACAATATAATTATAAATGTATAATATAATGTGTCCTCTCAGCAGTATTTAAGATGGCAGCAGCTTTTCCAGTTTGGCCCTGACCAAACAAACACATCTAGTGAGCTTATCTGTTGTGCTAAGGGACTGGAGTTTGAATAACTCTGTTCATCCTAACTACTCATTGATAAAAGATACAAACATCAAGATTCTACCTAACAAAGCATCTGGGATGATTCAAGCTTGACATCTCAGAATGGTACAGTCATTGCAATGTACTTGTGCTCTAATACTTTCATGGGTGTTCTTAAGCATGCCTCGTGAGGAAGAGCACGGGATGGATTGAGGATGTGTGTGATTACCTGCTTGAGTGTCCTCTCCATGTCAATTCCTTGGCCCCATGGAGCAGCAGGGTTCGCCAGACAATCCCCAGCATTTCCTCTCCTTGAAATGTCGATCTTCTGCCTTCGAAGGCTTCGGAAGGTCTCAGCCATTACCAGGACTCCATCGTAAGTCAGGGCAGAGGTGTACTAATGAAGCAAAAATGATTACAGTGATGAATGTGATGATCTTACCTAGCACACTGGAATCGTCTGGGGTTTCTACGGGTATGGGACAAAAGGACCACCTTCTCTGAAGGGCAGTTAGGTTACAGATAATTATTTTACTCTGTAATCACAAATTCCTATTCTCACTTGAATATAAAAACTGTATACCTGGGGCTGGGAAGGTGGCTCAGTGGTAGAGTGCTTGCCTCACATGCATGAGGCCCTGGGTTCGATTCCTCAGCACCACATAAGCAGAAAAAGCTGGAAGTGGCGCTGTGGGGCAAAGTGGTAGAGTGCTAGCCTTAAGCTGAAGAACTGAGGGACAGCACCCAGGCCCAAAGTTCAGGTCCCACGACCAACAAAAACAAACAAACAAACCCCGAAAACAAAAAACCCAACAAACAGCAAAAACTGCATACCAAATTCTTTCATCTTTATTATTATTTTCCAGATGGTCCTGGTGCTTGAACTCAGGACCTGGGCACTGTCCCTGAGCTCTGTAGCTCTAGAGCCACTTCCAGCTGTTAGTGGCTAATTGGAGTTAAGAGTTTCATGAGTAACCCCTATGTACAGTATTTTTACAATAAATCACACACATGCACACACACACATATGTATATGTATGTATAAAAGTCTCGTGGACTCAGATCACAGCTGCCTGAGTAGCTAGGATTACAGATATGTTACCAGTATCTGGCTTCATCTTAATTTTAAAAGGAGAAAACACTTTAAACAAAATAAATATTCTAATAAACAGTTGCCCATTAATCAGGAGGTCACAGGGGAAGTCTTTCTGTTGTGTCCAAGTGTGTAATCTGTGTGCAGCACTAGTATAGGGCCTAGAAGTCCATGGCAGGACTGGATCTCTAGAGACCTGGGCTCTCTTATTCTTTTCATCCTGCAAAATGCCTACTAGGGCTTTTTGAGATTTCATTTATATTTATTGATTACAAGTGTATATCTTAGTTTAGACTCTCAGAAGAATTAGTGGGTTTGCCTGTTGCTATTCAGAAGTATCATGCTAGAAATAACATTCACTTACTCAACACAAGTGAATGTAGTCACTGAGCTAAACAGGAATGAATGCAACACATGGTAAGTGCAGGTGAGAGTTGATCATTCAGCTGACTCCAATGTAACAGGATCAAAGTGGAGATATGAAGTATTGATCATCTGCTTTCTGATGGGGCCACTATATGCTTCTCTCTGAGAAAATAGGGAACCCCAGGAAAAGGTAATTGAGGTAAGAAGGGAAGTGAGAAAAGGCCGACAGGAAAGTAGAATCTGGGAATCCTTTCTGAGGGAGTACGGTTAGCGAATTATTGAACACATGGGAAATAGGTCAGGAATTTCTTGAAGCATGGCACCACAAAGACTACCATGTCCTTTAGGTAATATATAGGTGTATATATATGATAATATATAGGTACATATTACATATATAATATACATATATAATATATTATATATAGGCGATTACCTATGTGGTAATCGTTCTGCATTTATATGAGGGATAAGTTTGTGCTATGGGAAGTGGAAGATGGTTTCTTGGATTTTTCTGCTTGCTAACAAGGAAAACTCACTTGAAATGCCAATGGTATGCAATATTGTCATTATAATTGGTAGCATTCCAAAGATGAGAAAAACTCTGATATAGATAGAGCATGGAATATTTCATAAATTCTAGCAAAGAACATTTCAATAATAGAAGACCTAACTATAAGCTTGTATTAGGATACATAATTAACCTTCCTGTGTATCTCCCCATGGTAAAGCAGGTTTAAGGACAAACTCACCCCTGACAAGATAGAGTAGTTGAAAGATACACTAAAGATGGACATCCTCTACTGCTTGAACCAACACACATTTGAGTAGAGAAAACCATCAAATCATCACTGAGAAAGAAAACAAAATAAAAACAAGTAGAGTGACGCTTGCTAAAGAGATAAAAGGCAAGAGATAAATGTAATGCTAGTATTTCAGGATCAAGGGAGGATAAAAGAAAACTGTTGTTGATATTTCAATAGGGAAAAAGTAGCTGAGAAGAGATAGCGGCGAAAAGCAAATGCACTTGGCTGTGGTTTAAAAAGTCCATCCATCTTTGTGAAGTAAGTGAAGTAGAGCAAAAGAATAGACCTCACACCGTGAGCCTGGGCAAAGGAATCCTCTAGCCACAGCAGCAAAGGCAGCGTGGAATTTGACAGGTCATATTACTGATAGATAGGAAGAAGCAGTTGTTTAAATTGGCTTTTACCTTTTCAAAGGCTCTGAGTCTTTCCCACGTGCCTCATTGTGTTACAGTCCAGCAAACTGTATTTATGGGCACACTTCTAGATAACACCGAGAAAATCCTTATTAGAGAAATGTTGCATTTTATGGCAGAGTAAAACTAGATCTCAGTCTAGAATCCCTCCATTACCCTGCCCAATGACCTGAATGACACCGTGAGTTCCGTTTCTCAAAGTGGTAGAATGGAATCACAGAGTACAGATTTGCAATTTGAAAAGAAAGAATTGAGAGAAATTCTAATTTTGCTACTGTAAGTTACAAGGAATGGGGAATATGTTCTTTAGCTATGGAATGTAAGACCTAGACCTAGCCCCCCCCCCAAAAAAAAAACCCCAAACAAACAAGATAATAACTATCAACTGTATGCATTGTGAGGATGAAGTTTCATAGCACATGTAAGAATTCTTTGAGTACTGTGTTTAGATACTGGTCCAGACTCACAAGGGTGGCTAAAGCTGAGAGTAGACAACCAATCATGGCCCTGTGGGTATGAAATAAGTATGTGAAGAATTCTATGAAATCCTCAATGAGTTTTACATCATCAAGGATCCTAGTGTAGAGGAGGAAAGCTCATGTTTATTGGTGGAATAAGACAAAGTCTCCTAGACAGAGTGGAACTGAAGGTAGCCTTTGGAAATGTTTGGACTGGGACAGGTAGAAAAGAGATGAAGGACTGTGAGACAAAAGGCCAGCACCTGACAAGTGACACAGGGCTGTAGCTATAGCCATAGAAAGGCCTGTTCATGGATTGTGGAGGACCTTTTTGTGGTGTAGGGAAGTGACAGGATGGAAAACCACGTTTTGAATCTTGATTGAAATACTAAATAATTAAAGTGCAATTGATGTATTTATCATCAGTCATCACTCGGTTGGACTCTATGCTTTTGAACTTGTCTTCCAGCTAATAGTTATTTGTGACTGTCAATCAATACTTGGGGGCACTTTTGTAGTGAAACATTGGATTCATCCATTGTGCAGTCTAGACAATGGTTGAAGAAGGGAACACTATCTTCCTGTTTCTGATTTCATGCTGTAAACCAGTGTCCTTTTAGTAGAGAGTTTAGTGACGTTTCCCCTACTCTTGTGCTTTTTGTCCTCCGATGATCAACTGTTTAATATGGTCCCAAATATAGTCTTGAGGGATATCTAATGGTTCTATCGAATGTTTCTAAACTCTGATGTATGTTATGGAGTAACCAAGTTTGTTAATAAGTTTCATTCATGTCTGAGTTGGAGAGTAGCTGACTATGAGGTTAGCAGTAATGAGCCAATGATATATGAAAAAAAGACTTCCTTAAATAGAAACACACACACAAATGCAAAACTATGCATGGACTGGTTGAGAAAAGGTGGTGTCCAGAGGCTCACAGAAACAAGCCCGATATGTACCATAAGTGTGATGGTTTAATACTTGCTCATTTATCCCTTGAGGAAATTTTACAGATCATAACTTCTACAATTAATGAAAACTGACTGTATATTAAATGGCTTCGGTATGCCTCAAATCATGTCAAAAAGGGCTTTGAAAATTATACATATAGTAATTATATATAAATATACATTAGATATTTCTATATTATATTTCTATATTATGTTTATTAGAATTATATAAATATATAACCATAAATTACATATTTGTATATTTATATGTTTGTTTATTATATATTTATACATAAATATATAACCAATCATTGCTTTAATTTAAAATTCTTTCTGTATGCTAGCTGTCCATTCATGCAGAAGGGGAGAAATTGGCATAGTAAAAATAATTTTATAATTAAGAAGTGGAAAAAGCCAGGCGCTGGTGGCTCACACCTGTAATCCTAGCTACTCAGGAGGCTAAGATCTGAGGATCACAGCTCAAAGCCAGCCCAGGCAGGAAAGGTCTATGAGAATTTTTTTTTATTATTGGTCCTGGCGCTTGAACTCTGGGCCTGGGTACTGTCCCTCAGCTCTTCAGCTCAAGGCGAGCGCTCTACAGCTTGAGCCACAGCGCCACTTCTGGTTTTCTAGTGGTTTATTGGAGATAAGAGTCTCACGGACTTTTCTGCCTGGGCTGGCTTTGAACCATGATCCTCAGATCTCAGCCTCCTGAGTAGCTAGGATTACAGGCGTAGGCCACCGGCGCCCAGCTTCTATGAGACTCTTATCTCCAATAAACCACCAGAAAACTGAAAGTGGTGCTGGTGGCTCAAGTGATAGAGCACTTGCCTTGAGCTGAAGAGCTGAGGGACAGTGCTCAGGCCCAGAGTTCAAGCCCCAAGACTGACAAAAAAAAAAGAAGTAGAAGAGCTGAGACCTTTTCCTCCTAGACCTTAATTGTCTCAGAATTCCTTATTAGTGCCCCCTGACAGGGAATGATGAGTCTTCAGTGCTCTGTTGTCCAGGCCTCTGTGATATCCTTGAGCTTTTATGCTCTAGGCTAGTGCTTTATCAATTGAGCCACAGCTCTACTTCTGTTTTTTTTTTTGGTAGTTCATTGGAGATAAAAGTCTCACAAGTTTTCCTGCTTGTGCTGGCTCTGAACCATGATCCTTAGACCTCAGCTTCCTGAGTAACTAGGATTACAGGTGTGAGCCACCAGTACCTCACCGACAAAATCTTTTTAACAACATGCAATTTCATGAGGAAAGTTCATAGGTGACATCATAATAATAGTAAACTGCCCAAGTTAATGTTTCACAATCTAACTCTTAAAAATAGAATCATTACATGTACTCATTATCTTGCTCATGTAATTGTAACCGCTCTGTACAGTATTTTCACAATAACCCCCCCCCAAAAAAAAACATTAAATATTTGCATAGTTTCCCAGGCTGCAGTTTATCTGGCAAAATGTTGCTGGAAGGACAGTAGGATGAACTCTTGGACTTAAATTTAAAAAAGAATATTAGTAGTATATTAGATAAAAATAAGCCGTAATACCTTCGGCGGGGTCTCGGATCCTGGATACTCTCTCTGATCTAGTTTCTTCCAGCGATCCATCAACTTGGTTACCATAGGTGTATTAAAATCTACCAACTGGAATCCTGTAACATTAGCTCCACCATGGATGAACCTCTCCAGAGAAATGTCCTTGAATCCCTATGAAAATCAACATGGAAAGTTGTTAAATTTCCTGCATTAGATATTTTGGTTCTTTAACAGTAAGAAGGTATCGATCCATGTGTACATCAACACAGATTTTTAATGGAACAATAGCTAGAAGGAGGAAGGAAATTGGATTATGCCAACATAGCTTCAAAATTCTGTCATTCAAAATTCAGTATAAATGTTTTCACTTTGGCTCAACCCACATACTTCTTGAATGTCTCTGAAAGAGACAAACAGGAAAGGCCAGCATCTGAGTGTCTCTTGCCTTTGGAAACAGGTGTATGCAAATGTGTATTCTATGAAGGTGATTCTGATATATGCGGATGTATTCTCAATCTGTAATGGGGGAGAACCATTTTAAGGGGGTTTTGTTTAATTATTCAGTGGCTCAATAGTGGAGAGCTGCTAATTTGAGCTAGAGAGTGTAAAACCTTTGATTATGTTATTTGTAACAGCCTTGGCATCCTGGGATGTAATGGTGCAAGAGGAAGAGGGCAAGATGGCTGAGGGGAGGGGAAGAGAGGGGGGAGGGGAGAAGGTGGGAGGGAGGGAGGGAGAGAGAGAGAGAGAGAGAGAGAGAGAGAGAGAGAGAGAGAGAGAGAGAGAGAGAGAATGTGACCTTAATGCTTCCCACCAGGTAGAATGAAGGACCTGTGAGGGAACACTAATCAGAACTATCATCTCATTTGGGCTAGAGATAGTATCTTGGGTTTCAAAAATTATCTCTCTGCCTACCAGTCTACTTATTCATCTCTAGTATCTATTATTTTCTTCCCTTCCTCTCTTTCTTTCCACACTTTCTTCTTTCTCCCCTTCCCTTCTTTCCTCCTTTCCCTTCCTTTCCCCCTTCTTCCTCTCTTCCTCTCCCTTCCCCTTCCCTCCTTCCTTCCCCCTTCTTTACTTCTCTCCCCTTCCCTCCCTCCCTCCCCCCCCTCCCTCCCTCCTTCTTTCCTTCCTTCCTCCCTCCCTTCTTCCTTCCTTCCTTCCTCCCTCCCTCCTTCTTTCCTTCCTTCCTCCCTCCCTTCTTCCTTCCTTCCTTCCTCTCTTGCTTCTTTTCAAACATCACTGTTTTTCCACTAAGCATTTAAAGTGCTTTGTAAAGCTACACACTAAATGCAAGAACAGGGCAAAGTATATTAGGGAAGTATATTAACAAAGGTATTAGCTCTGGGAACAGGGAACTGTTTATGTGCACCCTAACCCCACTAATTTGTGTCTTCAATAAATTTTGTGAAGATGCTCTAGTTTTTCTGAGATAACTTGAAAGTATTTTTTCTATCTTTATGTGTGTGTGTGTATGTGTGTGTGTGTATGTGTGTGTGTGTGTGTGTATGTGTGTGTGTGTATGTGTGTGTGTGTATGTGTGTGTGTGTGTGTGTATGTGTGTGTGTGTAATGTACAGCAGTCACCCTACAGCTGGAATCAAAAGCAGGGAAGATGAGTTTGCAGATCTAGAAACTTCCAGTCTTATTTTTGCCTAATTTATTTATTTTTTGATAATGATGATTGCCTTCCTAGTTCATAGCTGTACATCCCTTTATCAAAGAAGAAATGTGTCAGTCTGTTCAATAGACTAAGGAAAATGGTTACAGGGAGACCTAGGTGTGTGAACTAACAGCTCATACTGAAGCTGGGTGTACTGTGTGACAGAAACTGTGCTAAGCACTTCCTACAGATTATCGAAGGAGTTTAGTCATCCCAAGGTTCTGAGAAAGATTATATTATTAATGTTAAGAAAACAGAAGCCAGGCCTGGATATGATGGCTCATGCCCATAAATTTAGCCATTGAAGAGGTAAAGATTAGGAGGATAGCAGTTTGAGGCCAGCCTGTGCAAGAAATTAGCAAGACCCCATCTCAGTCAATGGCTGGGTGTGGCGGTGGGTATCTGTCATTCCAGCTGCTAAAGAAGCAGGGCAAACCCAGGAGAAAAGGAGTCATTATCCCCCAGATAGTGGAAGGAGGCTCACGTAGCAGCAGGGAGTTCAGCTGGGGCTGCGTACATTTTCAAGGTCACCTAGCAAATGTTTTATTTCATTGGTTTTTTTTTTTGGTCGGTTGTGGGGCTTGAACTCTGGGCCTGGGTACTGTCCCTCAGCTCTTCAGCTCAAGGCTAACGCTCTACCACTTGAGCCACAGCACCACTACCTAGCAAATATTTAATAAAGCCAAATTACAACTTCATGAATTGACTTTTGAGTGCGCCTTTGCCTCTTTATGATCCTGTGTATTATTATTATTTTTGGTCAGTTGTGGGGTTTGAACTCTGGGCCTGCGTGCTGTCCCTGAACCTCGTTGTGCTCAAGGCTAGTGCTCTATCACTTAAGCCACAGAACCACTTATGGTTTTTTGCGTGGTTAGTTGGAGATAAGAATCTCACAGGGACTTTTCTGCCCCAGCTGGCTTGGAATCACAATCCTCAGATCTCAGCCTCCTGAGTAGCTGGGATCACAGGCATGAGCCACCTGCACCCAGTGATCCTGTGTATTTTTACAATTCTTTCTGGTACGAAGGATTGAACCTAGGGCCAGTGCTTAATCACTGGAATAATAATAGCCCTCATCCTCCCAAACCTTTTTGGTTTTGAGGCAAGGTTTCACAACACTTTCACCAGAGCTCTCTTTCTGCCTTTGCCTCCTGAGAAACTAGAACTACAGGCATATTCTATCATGTTTTCCTATTCTTGTGTTTTCTTATACAAAAGCACGCTTTTAACTTTATTAATCATCACAGCATTCCCAGGAAAGACATGATGATACTATACAATAAAAACCCAGGATATGAGTCCTACCTCTGTTACTTTCTAATCTTGGGTTTCCCACATGTAGAATGAGAATGGACATCTTCAAATATTTGGCCCATGTGGCTGGCATTTGCTAATTGATAGTAATTATTAATTAATTCACTCAGCAAATGTTTATTTCATGCCTATTCTGGGCCCGCTAATTTGATAGTTCATCAGTAACATTCTCATTTCACCGAGAAATAAAGCAGACACCAGAAAACCCATTTGTGTCTTGGAAATGGAAAAACACTGTCCATCAATCTCCAGCTACTAAAATGTCAGTTGAACATTTGTTTGCCGGGGCAGAGGGCAGACCCACAGGCTGGCAGATAATTTCTGTGTTTTCTAAAAGCCACAGTAACTCAACTATTGCATTAGCTGCTAATTGATGGCGTTGTTATTAATTTCTTTGTCCTTTCTGCCATGGCTGAAATGGAAGTTCTGCCAAACTGCCTTTGATAACATTAGCAACCGCTGCCAGCCCGGCAGGGCTTAGCCTTTAGAAAAAAAAATCGGATGTAAAGTCTATGTGATCAATAATGGTGCACATTTCTCGGATTTCCTTCTGTTGCTACATTAAAGTAACGGGGAAAAATTACCTTGCCTGATTATAATACTCTCCTTTCCATTATGGCTTCAATGGCTGATATGTGACTATGTTAATTTTAGCTGTGTCTGTTTGAGAGCAGGTAATATTCCCCTCCCTTTGTGCAGTTTCTTATAATTTTATAGAGAAAATTGATAGGATCAAGACTCTGAAAGCAGTTTCCTTGGAAACAGTTACTTTGCTGGCCATTTAGTTTCATTGTATCTAGAGACTAATATGGAAGTGAAGTTCTAGGGACTGGTGTAATAATGGTGTGTGTGTGTGTATGTGTGTGTGTGTGTGTATGAGAGAGAGAGAGAGAGGGAAATTCAATAACTAAGCAAACAATGCTCCCGGGATGGGCTATGTGAAGGATCTCATCTGTGCTTCTTCCTATGGCCTAGTATGTTGTTCAGATTCACAATGCTTAGAGACCTGTCCAGATTAATCCACATTTAAATTGGGCCTTTTAATTTTCACTTGCAGTTTGTCCCTCCTGGGGTGGGGTGTTTAAAAGTAGAGGTGTCAGCTATCTTTATGAATATTTTTCCTACAGGCATAGATCATCAATGCTTATTAAATGGCTCATCTTTTAAGTTTTATCTGATTGAGATAACATTTCTGCTCTGCGTTGCATTTATGCTTCACCAGATGATAAATCATAGCCAGACAGCTCTGGTGTAGTGAACTGAAGGGACACCAAGCCTCTCCTCGTTATCTTTGGAAAATCAGTCCCTGGAGAAATGGACTTAAGAGCATGCACTTTGGGTGTGTGTGTGGGGGGGGGGATGTGCATGTGTGTGCGTGCGTGTGTGTGTGTGTGTGTGTGTGTGTGTGTGTGTGTGTGCGTGCGTGCGCATGCCTGCTCCTATACCTGTACCTGCCAGGACCTGCAATGATATAGGTGCTGTCCCTGAGCTATTTTGCTCAAGGCTAGTACTCTATCACTGGAGCCACAGCTCTACTTCCACCATCTTTTGGTGCCCAACTGGAGATACACTTCTCAAGGAGTTATCTGCCCAGACACTGGCTTTGAACTTTGATCCTCAGATCTCAGCCAGTTGAGTAGCTAGTATTTACAGGCAAGAGCCACGGATGCATAGCTTAGAGTAAGCACTTTTGCTGCACACATGGATGGTGCACTCTAAACCTGCTCGGTGCAGAAAAGTTGAAACTTCAGAAAGGAAAAGTTGAAACAAAAGGAAAACCTAAAATAGTGTTGCCCACAGAGTAGAATCACAGCTGGGTTGATTATACCTGGGGACAAAAAGAAAACACACCATGTATGTGAGAGAGAAAATTGGGTAACTGTGTTTACTTTCCAACCTGGAACAGACGAGAGAAGTAAACATAGACACATGAACTTTCTCTGCTTATCTGTGGGATGAGACAGGAGTTGCATCCGCAGTGTGCATAGCACACACGTGTGTGGTGGGGTGTGGTGAGATACTGGTAAGGGACAGATGCCTTTACTATTTAATTATAAACCCTCACGCATTAGAATTTTGTACTTTTTTTGGTAGAGTCATAGATATAAATTGACTCAAAGACTAAAAATTAAACAATCTAAATGACAGCAGGAGTCTGACTTTGCCTTGTGGTTAAAGCAAATACCAAGAGCTCCCTGCTACCATTGGTGGCCATATTTAGGTTACCTAACAGCTGAGGGAAAGAAGAAACAGAACTGCATAATACTATGTCTAAAGCCCACGCCCCCTTAAAGGCATGGGATCTGTTTAAATGAACAGTCATTCTGTGGCATGAGTGCCACTGTTCCCTGTGTATGTTACATTTTATTTGTGGCTGTATTGATTCACTGCAGTCAGACAGGCCAGAACCTTCCAACTTGTCTTTGAGACTTTTAATGGTCTGTGTGATTTTGGAGAAATGACAGTTCAACCTCATTTTCCAGTCTATAAAATCAACACACCTATTTTAAGGACTAATTGAAACAATTATAGTAACAGAGCAAAGAGACTGTCCAAAGCTGGTGGTAGAGGACAAGCAGTTCAGCAGCTAAAGATCCATTTTAAAAGGTTAAACACAGACAGCTTCCTGCCTTTCACAACTTCCTCCTGAGCTAATGCTTTGTGGCAGCCATACTGGAAGATTCTGGGCACCGCCTTGTACACAGGAAGTCTAAAATAACGATTACATGAATGGAAAAGAAGATGAATTCTGCACTACCAGGTCAAGGGTGCTTCGTGAACCCAGGAGGGTGGGTATTTAAGGAAATGATGGAAATCACACACTGGACAGGAGGAAAGTGTCTAAAGCTGAAAAGAGAAAGGAAGCATTAAGTGTCTGGAAATTCTTTTGCTTTGGAAAAGGGTGCATGCAAAGGGGACCACAGGGAGACTGTGGAGTTCAGGAGTAAAATCTCGAGGGTTATCTGTGTTAGGATAAATACTAAAAATAGGTGCTCCTAAAGGATCTAAGGGCTTCACTTTAGAAGGCTCACTCTGGTAGAAGACATTAAAAGCCGGGGCAATGACTCAGAGTTCGGGCTATCTGAGAGAAATGTGAAGTCCTGTAGAGAGGGGAGACCAGCTGTTGCAGGTAGGGGCCTGAAAAGGCCGCAGGAGATCAGGTCATGAGAGTTTCTGGGCTATTTTCAGCTTCAGGCTAATGGGAAGCTGTAAGAAAGGTAATGATAGAATCATAGATGTCTGGAAAAAAAAAAAAAAGCCGGGCATTGGTGCTCATGCCTGTAATCCTAGCTACTCAGGAGGCTGAGATCTGAGGATCACAGTTTGAAGCCAGACCGGATGGGAAAGTCCATGAGACTTCCATCTCCAATCAGTTACTTAGAAAATGCCATACGTGGCGCTGTGGCCCAAGTGATGCTAGCCTTGATCACAAAGAGGCTCAGGGACAGCATCCAGGCCCTGAGTTCAAGCCCCAGGACTGGCAAAACAACAACAATGAAAACAAAACAAAACTGGTGGCAAAGCGAAGGAAGAAGTGGAAAAGAAGTCTAAGGACAAAGTAGGAGAGCAATTGTCTTAAGTTAGAGAAAAAGTCTACAATGAACCAACAGAGAACATCTTGATTCTGTCTCTTAGCAATTTTATGTAGCTACAAGATGCAGGTGGACCCATTGCAACAATGAGATGTACAAGACGCTATGTTGAAAAACAAACTTTATAACTTTGATGGGGGGAGGTGGGGTGGGGGGATGGGGGGTGGGAGGGAGTGTAGTTGTGGAGGTGGGAGGGAAGGGATGGTAGGGGAAAAACAAAGGAGAAGGCCGCAATGCTTGATAAGAAATGTACTCATTACCTTGCTCATGTAATTGTAACTCCTCTGTATGGTATTTTCACAATAAAAAACTTATTTAAAAAAAGGTATGTATAAAAACTACATTTTAGAAAATAGTTCTGAAGAGTTGGTTAAGTAGGTGTCTCCTGCTAAAGTATAACTGTAAAAATGAAATTGAAATTATTTGAATATATTTATAAATATTTCTAATTACACGCAAATACAACCAATTTAAATTACTGACCTTAAATTATTGATCGTATATCCTGCTACCCTCTAAATTCACTTATTTGTGCAACATTTTATTTCTTGATTCATTAGGATATATTATTCTTGATCTGGATGTCTTTTATTTATTTTTGTTGAATTACCTGTTAGGACCTTTAGCATAATATTTAATTGAAACAGTGAGAATATATCTTTTTTTTAATTTTTTGATTCTGGTCCTGGGGCTTGAACACTGGGCCTGGGTGCTGTCCCTGAGCCTTTTTTGTTGTTGTTGTTGGTTATGGGGGAGCTTGAATTCTGGGCCTAAGTGCTGTCCCTCAGCTCTTCAGCTCAAGGCTAGAGCTCTACCACTTGACCTACAGCACCACTGCTGGTTTTCTGGTGGTTTATTGGAGATAAGAGTTTCATGGACTTTCCTACCCGGGCTGGCTTTGAACCGTGATCCTCAGATCTCAGTCTCCTGAGTAGCTAGGATTATAGGTGTGAGCTTTTTTTTTTTTTTTTTTTTTTTTAACTGAAGGTCAGCCTTCTATCAATTGAGCCACAGCTCCACTTCAGGCTTTTTCTCTGATTAATGGAAATAATAGTCTCATGGACTTTCCTGCTGAGGCTGGCTTGGAACCATGATCCTCAGATCTCAGCCACCGGAGTATTTAGGATTACAGGCATGAGTTACCAGACCCAGCTTGTATTTTGTTTTTTTATCTTGGAAAGAAATCAGCTTTTAACATTAAATATAACAATTTCTCTCTCTCTCTCTCTCTCTCTCTCTCTCTCTCTCGTGTGTGTATGTGTGTGTATGTGTGTGTGTGTGTGTGTGTGTGTGTGTGTGTGTGTGTGTGTGTGTGTGTGTGTGTGTGTGTACTGGGGTTTGAATTCAGGTCTTTATGGTCTCACTTGTTTTTTCTTTTTTTTTATTCAAGGCTGGTGCTGTACCATTAGAGACACATCTCTACTTTGGCTTTCTGCCGTGTAATTGGAGATGAGAAGTCTGCTTCAGCTGAGTTTGAACTGCCATCCTCAGACCTAAGCCTCCTGAGTAGCTAGGATTTATAGGCATGAACCATAGATGTCTAGCTGATTTTTCATTTTGATTGTATTTGGAACTCCTATATACATAGCTCTTAAGAAACGTTTGTTGACTGGCTAAATAAAACAAAAATCATCCTGGCATTACAGTAGTCTTTTAAGGCTCAGTGAATGTCGACAGAATCCATATTACGCAGATATGTGCAAGTCCCTGGCTTAATAATGTGTTACAAACATATTGGGTATGTATGATAAAAGGGCTTAGTTTTAGTGAGAATTATAGTTTTTCTTCCCTTCTGCAGGCCAATATTTTCTACTTCATGTGTTGCTACTTTAATAGCTTAAATATGCCACCATCTATTATAGCTGTTTAAGATAGAATATGATAACCATTATAGGATTCTAAATATCAATTTTTCTATTTGTTATTGGTTTATTTTAGTTGTCAATGTCAGCAACTCACTTCTGGGAAGATATATATATGTATATATGTGTATATATATATATATATATATAAGTATGTGTGTATATATATATATATATGTGTGTATATATATACTTTTTTCTAAATTCTGTTGTTTGGAAAGCAGAGATGTCAAGACCATCTGTGTGCAGTAATTAGTTAAAAATCTCATTATTCACTATCAGTGTGAGGAAAGCTACCCCGTAATCATAGTCTTTTACTTATAGTGATTAATGACAGAATATATTTGCTTTGAACTTTGTGTTTTTATAAAAAAAATAATAAAGCACACATCCAAATCAATGGAAAAGACAAGTCCAAATTTCCCAGTATTTCTATGATCACTTATTAGGTTGCAAAATTATACTTTAAGAAACCCAGTACGGTAAGAGTTTAATCATCATCTACTGTTGTATTTTCCTATTTCAGCTCCGCCCTGGAATCTAGGTCACTAGGGAGTGACTGTACTTTTCTCTTCCAGTGTTCCGAAGTCTTTAGTATCTTCCCTGCTTCTAGCACAAGACACTCATCAAACAAATGCATGATGGGACTAGATAGGAAAATAAGGTGACATCCCTGACTTGGTCTGGGAAGGAACCACCGTGTGTGTCAGGCCCTTAGTGCAGACGGAACTGTAATAAAGCGGTAGAGGATGGCCAGTGTTGCTACTCATAAGAAAGTCAACAAAGACCATTTAGCCTTGTCAAGAAATTTAAAAGGACTTGCTTGGGCCTTTAGGAATTTCCTTAATGTATGTGCACCTTGTTAATCAACCACTTCTATGTAGTACTTAAACAGTGACCAAATGGAAGGTTTGTTGGAATAGCCATCATATTCTGTTGTGCTTAAAGTTGGAGAATGTAGGCCATCAGTTTAGATGACTCATGCAATACCCACGTATTGGCAATCTTTATCTGCAGAGTAGCATTTATCATTTAGACAGACAGAAAGCCCGTATTTAATTTGACAAGTGATATCATGGCAAAGTAAAATGGTATAATTAGTTTTAAAGGCCACTTTGGCAGATATCCAGCTAGTCTGCATAAAAATATACTGAATTCTGCATTAGACATTCTACATTCCATAAAATATCTATGAGTTATAAAAGGCTAAGTAAGAAATAGAGTTTGAGCATTTAGTGGAACATTATTGTAAGGCACAGTTAAAATAATCTTGAATGCTTGAGCAATTCTTAGGAAAAGTAGAAAATTAAGAGCTCTTACCAAATTGGCAATGATATAATGGTAGCCTTTAACATGCTTTCCAACACTCACAATCTGTGGAAATAGAAGGAAATAAGAGAAAATCAATGTAACTTTACTGAAAAATAATATTTAAAATATAACCATTGTAGCATAATTTCATGAGAAAAAAATGTAGTTTTCCTTACAACAGTGACATGTTTTAATGGCAAGAATTTTATTCAAACCATATTAATTAGAAATAACCAATAGCTCTACCAATTGTTCATGGACACTGAAGCTTTTCTTTCCTAGAAATTCAGCACTATATCTTGATTTTTTTCTCCATGGGTTTTATCTCCAGATGTATCTGGTTTACAGTTAGTCTAAAAATTTCTCTTGAGACTTTTGTCATGAAGATGAATACAATAAATGGAATTATAAAAAAAAAAGTTTAGTAAAGAACCAGTTTAATAAGCTGTCATATTGGATAATGCAAACCTGATTGGTTTAATATGAATTTAGCAAGCTGGTACAACTGTATTCTCTGGGAACCTCAGGTTTAAGAATTATCCGGGAACGCATGATAATTCACACTCAGTTACATATTACATACCCTAGACCTGAATCTATTATAGATTTATGCTCTTTACCTTGGCAAAGTTTCTGATTCAGTATAACTTTTTCTGGTATGCCCATTCAGGCCCCTTTGCACCTTTTTAAAACCCCCAGACCTCTCCTTTCCTTTCCTTTCCTTCCTTCCTTCCTTCCTGCCTGCCTTCCTTCCTTCCTTCCTTCCTTCCTTCCTTCCTTCCTTCCTTCCTTCCTTCCTTCCTTCCTTCCTTCCTTCCTCCCTTCCTCCCTTCCTTCCCTTTCTCCCTCCCTCCCTTCCTTCAGTCTTTCCTCTCCCTCCTTCCATACTTCCCACCCCCTCTTTCTCTTTCTCTCTTTCTGCTCTTTTCTTTCTTGCTCTCTCTTCCCTCCCTCCCTCTTTTCCTCCCTCCCTCCCTCCCTCCGTCTGTCTGTCTTTCTCTCTCTCTTTCTTTCTTTCTCCCTCCCTCCCTCCCTCCCTCCCTCCCTTCCTTCCTTCCTTTCTTTCTTTCATCTATCTGTCATAGGGCTTTGAACTCAGGGCCTGGGCGCTATTCCTGACCTTTTTTGCTCAAGGCTAGCACTCTACCACTTTGAGCCACAGCTCCACTTCCAGTTTTCTGGTGGTTAGTTGGAGATAAAAAGTCTTAAGAACTTTTCTGTCTGGGCTGGTTATGAACTGAGATCCTCAGATCTCAGCCCTCTGAGTAGCTAGGATTACAGGCGTGAGCCACTGGCGTCCAGCTCCTGCTCCTTTCTAAATAGTATCAGCTTGAGAATTTTTGACTGCAGTCGAAAACCCATGCCAGTTTTATAAGACATTCATTTTTACACATGAACACCTGCAAATGCTAAGAAAAGAAAAGAGGTTGGAAGCAATGGCAATCTAGCAGCAGTATCTCCATGAAAGCGTCACTGTCATATCTAGACAGTCTAGGAAAGAATTGTAGTTAGTTCTAAAGCCTACTCAACACATTTTGGTATTGAATTTTTTGCTTCAAAATTGTTACTTCAGAAAACAACAACAACAAAAGCTTTCGTTTTAGTTTCCTCAGAGAAGAATCTAAGGCAGGGAACTTGAGTGAACAAGCTGCAGACTTAAAATACAACATTACAAGCTAAGAGCAGGATATTAATTCTAAGGGTATAAGGTATGAATGGGACCAGGTGAGCAAAGTCCAAGAAGAACTAGGGCTATCAGACACTTTTTATTTTATTTTATTTTATTGGAAAGGTAATGAGTATGTTTCTTTGTTTTTCTCCTTTGTTTTTCTCCTACTATCTTTTCTTCTACTATCTCCTCCTTTGTTTTTCTTCTACTATCCTTTCCCTCCCCCACCTCACCCACTTTTTCCACTCCCTATCCGGAAGTTGTAAAGTTCATTTCCAACATAGTGTCTTGTGAATATCATTGCCGCAATGGGTCATCCTGTGTCCTGTTTAAGCATTTTGTTACTCCCTTTCCCCTCCCCAAATTACATGTATATACAAGATGTTGGGTGCCAAAATCAAATACAGTGACAAAAGAGGATATACTATAGGGGGAAGAACATACCCAAGAAAAAAAATCACATAGTACATTAAAAAACAACAATGACAAAGAAAGACACCTTGTGTCCATATCTTGGATTTCATTTCTGGCATGAGAGCAGACTTGAGGACCAATGGAATAGAACTGAAGACCTAGAAATGAACTCACAGACCTATAGCCATCTAATCTTTAATAAGGGAGCCAAAAAAAATAGAATGGAAGAAAGACAGCCTCTTCAGTAAATGGTGCTGGCAAAATTGGTTAAACATCTGTAGAAAACCAAAATTAGATCCTTATAGATCACCCTGCACCAGAATCAAAGACCTTGAAGTAAAACCAGACACCCTGAAAACATTACAGGACAGAATAGGAGAAACTCTAGGACTCCTTGGCTCCATGGATGCTAGGCAAGCAATTTCTATTTGAAATGTGTGCACAGTCCTCTTGATTTTAACTGTGATTTTTAATATTACATTGTTGTTATCTTTAAATAGTTGGACAAAGGAATTACCATTCAACAAGTCAGTTTACGAATAGGATACATCTTGACCCATGTCTCCCCTTTCACTGTTTTACTCTGACTTGGAGATAGGGTCTCAAACTTGTCATCTTTCTGTCTTGGTCTCCCAAATAGCTGAGATTACAAGCATGAGCTGCCAGGCCTGGCTGTTACTGTTTCCTTAACTTTATTGAGACTGTTTAAAAGATTGCCTTCTCTCACATAATGGATTTTCATTTACTATTGGCCTGGACTCCCCAATGTAAGGATTGGGAAGTTGAGGCCCCTCTGAGGGAGATTGGTGTGAATAGAAGTTTAGAGTGAAAAGCAAGTGTTATGTTAATTTTAGTGCTCCTTTGTTCATTATGGTAAGGACAGCAGGTCACAGAGCAACACCATCCTTCTCTCTGCCTGTTACTGTGGCTCTGAAATTCTATATGCACACACAAAACCCGGTAACGATGCACATCTCTGAGGAATATTTCATTTCATTGAATAGCATTTTAATTTAGGGACTAAAATACTTTCAAAGAGACATAGAAGATCCTGTAGCACTGTGACAATGCATTTAAAAGCACATATAATAGTTTAAAAGAAACATTTAGAATCATGCTCATTATAATTAAAGAGTCATTTTGTAAGAAGTCATATAAAATGATTCTGATACCCGGTGATTACCAGCTGGGGTAATCTTTACTTTCCTAAAACATGTTTTTTAAAAAAATCTACAGTCACAACTAGGCACCATGACTCACACCTGTAATCTTAGCTACTCAGGAGGCTGAGATATGAGGATCAAGGTTCAAAGCCAGCCTAGGCAGGAAAATTGGTGAGGCTTTTATCTTCAATTAACCACCCAAAAAAGCCAGAGGTGGATCTATGACTCAAGTGGTAGAGAGTCAGCCTTGAGTAAAAAGGCTAAAGGATAGTGTCCAGGCCCTGAGCTCCTGTGCCAGTACTAGCAATAAAACCAAAATTCACAGACACTTAGAGTCAGCCTGACTCCAGTCCACACACCTTGACTATAGTTTCTATATTTCTTCAACTATAACATGGTCCCTTATTTATGCCACAGGTTTCCAGAAAAATACCTTTGGCCCAAATTAATATATATTTCCTAATAGGAAGGAAGCATGTGAAGATGACATCCTTTAATATACTAGATTTTAATTAACACGAAGATTCTGTTAGAGAAATTCCTGAGTTCTCATAATGAAACAAACCCACAGCTCTCTTCCTTGCAATTATTTCCTATCTGAACATAGTGTTACTTGAATAACAATCTGTATGCAAGGTGTTTTTAATTCTTCTATGCATGAGTCTGGGCTAGGGACACAGATGAAGGAAATGCAGGTAGACCAGTGCTCCAGTGATCAGTGTGCGATTTCGTCATAGGTCTGCAATAAACTAGTTAGCAGAAAAGCTTAAAGTAGCAGAAAAACTTAAAGTACTTGGATTTAAATTTTCATAGTTTGAACTTCATTAGGAGTATATTTAAAAGTTCATTTCAAGTATATACCCTAAACTTAATGTATACGCAATTCAACAAAACAGATAAACCTAGGTACTCTGACAAACTCAGCTTCATCAATGAAAGCTCAATCTGTATGTATATGAACAATATAATTCAGTGTTAAATATATTCCATGATATTCTCTCTTAATATAATTTACGTACAAATACATGTTGAACACATACTTATGGCAATTCCATAAATAGTACACAGAATTAATTTTTGTAATGTGGCCTAGGCTGGCCTTGAACTCTTGATTTTTCTGTTTCAGACTCTTTAGTGCTAGGATTGTAGACATGTGTCCACCCAGAGTTAGCTTTTATTAATTGGATAATAGAATATTTCAGTTCTTGAGATGCTCTTCATTAGGCATCTCATCAATGAGTTAATAGTCATAGGTCATAAAGAAAACTTGAGGGAAGACAGACATTGGAGGCTCATGCCTGGAATCCTAACTACTCAGGAAGTTGAGATCTGAGGATCACAGTTCCAATCCAGCCCAGGCAAGGAAGTGTGAGACTCTTATCTCCAATTAACCACCTAAACTTGGGAAGCAGGGCTGCGGCTCAAAGTGATAGAGTGCTAGCCTGGAGCAAAAATGCTCAGGGACAGCGCCCAAGCCCTGAGTTCAAGCCCTATGACTAACGGAAAAACAAAAACAAAAACAAAAAAAGAGAAAACTTGAGGGAGCTGCTAGTGATGGGGATACAGATTACCTTCAAATGTCACACATGGACATATATGCTTTAAAGGAGTTTATCATTTTGAAGGAATACGTGCTGAATAGTTAAGACCAAATGGGCTAAAGATAAAACTCGATGGTCTCAGCATGGGACGACTTGGCGCTGTGTGAGGGGCCATGCTCAGGAGATGACGCTTTCTAAGATTGAGACAACACACTAGGGTGTGGCTCTGTGCCTGGAGGAAGTGAGCTTCACCGGTTCTGGGAGGATCCTGTGAGC